TGTTTACACTGACCATGCGTCATTACGCACGGCAGTGAACAGCCCGCACCTTTCACAACGAATGGCACGGTGGTTGTCATTCTTTGCTGAATACAACTTTACGGTCGAGTACAAACCAGGACGACTTAATGTCGTCGCTGATGCACTCTCACGTCGTCCCGACTTTGAAACAGTCGCGAAACCCAACAGTGAGACAGTCACTGTTGCGGTTATGACGTCCTCAGTCCCATCTACAACGTTGTATGATGATGTGAGGCGGGCATACGCCCAAGATGGTGAGATAGTGAAGTTGTTGACACATCTCTCACAAACATCTCGAGAATCGTTGAAACGATTGTCGCCTGCGTATCGATCTGCATCAGATCGATACACTACTCATAACGGTTTACTGTATTATACAGCCGTTTCTGGTGACACACCACGTGTTGTCATTCCAGATGATACTGATCTGCGTTTGCGGATCATGTTCGAGTATCACGATGCTCCTATAGGAGGACATCGTGGCCGGGAGAAAACATATCTCACGGTGAGTCGAGACTTTTACTGGCCCCGCCAGTATCAGTTTGTGCGAAAGTATGTTCGCGCATGCGAAGTCTGTCAACGAGTGAAGTCAAGTCCTTCACTGCGTGCACCTTTACAGCCTCTACCGGTTCCGGCTGAGTGCTGGGAATCCATCTCAATGGATTTCGTCTTCGGGTTACCCAAAGACGCACGCGGGAATACGGGTATTCTCGTATTTGTTGACAGATTCAGCAAAATGGTACACCTTGTGGCTGTACCAGAGACAATCACGGCAAGTGGCTGTGCTTGTGTCTTTATTGACACCATCTTACCACTTCATGGGTTGCCCCGTGAACTCGTGTCAGACAGAGATCCACGATTCACTGCTGATTTCTGGCGTTCCGTGTTCAAATCACTCGGAACGCGCTTGAAGATGTCAACATCTGATCATCCAGAGTCAGATGGTCAGACGGAACGTGCCAATCGTGTCCTTGAAGAGATACTTCGAGGATACGTACACTCCTTTAAGATTTGGAGTGAGTTTTTGCCAATGGTACAGTTTGCCATCAACAACTCGGTGCATGCGTCCACGACACTTACACCGTTTTACGTGAATGGCTTACGCCATCCGCGTGTACCCACCTTACTAGAGTGTAACTCTGGTTTAAGGGGGGGAGGAACTCGCGCGAGCAAAAACCGATTTGGTTCACGCTTATCACGCTCTGACGATGAGGTCATTGCATTGATGCCGATATCGATGTTATCGATATCGAAGAAGATGATACCAGTGAGAGTGCGGAAGCCCTCAGTAAAGAAAAGATTGATGTTGCTGCAGTGCACTCACAGCGCACTGAAGCTAACGAGTCATCAGATGAGTTCATACTGGCTCGTGAAACGGTAGTCCGTTTTGTGCAAGACCCCATCGCCGAAGCGGTGGATAAGCAAAAGCAAAACGCTGAAAAGAATGGAAGGGCAAACACTCTTTTATTTGATAACGGTGACTTAGTTATACTGTCTACGGTCAATCTACCAAAGCGTTTAGTGACTAACTTGGGTAGAAGTAAACTACTACCCAAGTACATCGGCCCATTTCGTGTATTGCACCGCCTAGGCAATGCATACACGATCGAGTAACCACGTAAGATGCGAACGCATCCCACGTTTTACGTTGGTCGGCTTAAGCCGTACCATCAGTACGCTGCTTCTTCCGATGAAGAACGCCCTTGCGCTCAAGCATCTTGCAGAGAGCCTTGTGCTCCCGATGGTGGGCATCAACAAGGGTCTGAAGAGCAGTTATCTCAGCCCGAGACCGATCAACAATCCCACGAGCTACCCTTAGCTCGTCACGAAGAGATGTCAGAGATCTCTCGTTCTCAAGCTGAGCAAAGGCAAACTCAGCTCGATGCTTCAAGACAGTGTCCGCCATTTGGAGACGCCTGTCCCGCTCATGTTCGAGATCGTTGCGCAACCCTTGCGTTACGCGATCAAAGAAGCTCTCGGGAACACACGGATCCCCATGATCGTGTGGAGAGCGTCTTTCCTCCTCCTCCACCTCCATTAGAGGACTCTCGCGGTGGCCAGCGCTATCTAGTAGAGCAGCTGTTGAACCACCGCGACGTGAACGGACGTCGGACGAGTTACCTCGTCCGGTGGCGCGGCTATCCCCCGTCATGGGATACTTGGGAGCCCCGCCCAACTGATGGTTGACGTACTGGGTCTGGTTGCGCAGTACGACGTGGTACCTCCTGTGCCGCAGAAGGACCGCCGGAGAAAGTATTCCTGGCACGGTCATAAAGGGATTTCAGGTTGTCAATCCCTTCGTACATCTCACTAGAGATACGTACGCGCCACCACGGGCTGGTAAGGAGGTAAGCCTCCTTAGGTGCTCGTGCAGAGTTGTTCACACAACATGGGCACGAGTCTCCCCAAGAGAGGCAGGGTAATCCTTTCTCCCTTGACAGAAGATGCAGCTTGTAGCGTGCACCTGTCGGGGTTCGCTTTTCAAACTTATCACGAGATTTGATAAGTTTGTCGTTCCAAGCGTCACGACCTACATCCTCAAGGTTATAGATGTAGGCGTTCCACGCCTGAAGCAGTGAGGGACCATCACGCTTGTGATTCCCACTGTACCATCGATGTCTGAAGAAAGCATCGATGAAGAATTCATTCTCAGCGCGATAGTTTTTCGCGCTGGGGTCAAGGTGATGGATCCTTGACGAATCGAACAATCGTGTTCGATAACGATCACTCGTCGTCGCCGACAAGTGATCCATGACGGATTTGGGAGGCATCCATGCCTTCTTCTCGGGAGCGAGACGCAACACATTGCGGTCCCGCTCTTCCTGCGATGTGCCGACAGAAGTACTGGCACCTCGTTGCGAAGTGGTGTCCATAGGAGAACCGACACCACTGTTAGCGCCCGAGTCTCGCGACCTCGAGCGCCTTCGCTTCGGCGATGGTTCATCTGATTCATCAGATGAACCAAAGATGCTGCGACGCAAAGCATCGTCCATGCCACGCTTGGCAGGCGGCTTGGATTCAATCGCCGTCGATACGGATCCGTCTTCCGTATCAGGAGAGTACGAGACACCGAGCTCGTACTCTGTGAAGACACGAGTGTCTTCATGACCAGCGCCTGCATCACCAAGTGACACAGGCTGGGTCGCTTCAGCAACCGATGAGACATCAGTTGCTGTGGTTTCTGCCTCGGCGTCCGCACAGAGACGTGCGAACGCGCTCTCGGCGGCCTTGCTCGCGCATCGCATGGGCTTGTTAACCATGCGATGAAATGTTGGAAAGTGGACTCGGACCAACAAGTGCAAACCCCATCCCAAATGATTTGGGACGAGTATCCATTTAGTCAATCAGTCACTAAAGTGACTGATGGTTAAGGGGGGGGTGATGTAACGGGGTGAATCGTTACATAACAACTTTTAAGAAATTGTTAATAGAATATAACTATAAGAGTTATATTCTCAGAATATTGTCATAAGGACAAATATTCTGTAGCACTTACGAGTAGTTCCTGATTGGTTGATATAGGCCATTATATCAACCAACGAAGACGCGCCACGACAGACGCACGCAATGAGTGGTGAGCAGATAGTTGATTTACACATTTGTATTTAGACATAGTTAGATGAAGATAAATAGTGATTTATTGCAGACATTAACTATTATAAATACAGTTCTACTTTTTACTTTAACCGAGTACTCGCTTCTTCTTACCGTCTTCCTCTGCACGTACGAGTGTACGTGAAGTTACGAGGCACCGGTACGAGGCACCGCCTTATCCTGTCATCAGAATAAGTAGCTTGTACTGTCACCAGTACAAGCTTCAGGGTGCCCCGTTACAGCTGCTGTCTCGGTTACTCGATTGTGCCAAGAGACCGTGGTTGGAACAAACTTTGAGCATCTCCAACCGTGTGACTGATGATCTAAGCGCTGAATTACATAGATGGTTTGCTGCAAAAAATTGGCAGCCATGCGTACTGCGTCCCTTGTCCCCCACGTGTCTTTGGGCACTACATCGGTTCTGGCTGAAGAACTAGATGTAACGGGGCACCCTGAAGCTTGTACTGGTGACAGTACAAGCTACTTATTCTGATGACAGAATAAGGCGGTGCCTCGTAACTTCACGTACACTCGTACGTGCAGAGGAAGACGGTAAGAAGAAGCGAGTACTCGGTTAGAGTAAAAAGTAGAACTGTATTTATAATAGTTAATGTCTGCAATAAATCACTATTTATCTTCATCTAACTATGTCTAAATACAAATGTGTAAATCAGTTATCTGCTCACCACTCATTGCGTGCGTCTGTCGTGGCGCGTCTTCGTTGGTTGATATAATGGCCTATATCAACCAATTAGGGACTACTTGGAAGTGCTACAGAATATTGTCCTTATGACAATATTCTGAGAATATAACTCTTATAGTTATATTCTATTAACAATTTCTTATAAATTGTTATGTAACGATTCACCCCGTTACATCACCCCCCCTAACCATCAGTCACTTTAGTGACTGATTGACTAAATGGATACTCGTCCCAAATCATTTGGGACGGGGTTTGCACTTGTTGGTCCGCGTCCACTTTCCAACATCTCATCGCATGGTAAACAAGCCCATGCGATGCGCGAGCAAGGCCGCCGAGAGCGCGTCTGCACGTCTCTGTGCGGACGCCGAAGCAGAAACTACAGCAACTGATGTCCCATCGGTTGCTGAATCGACTCAGCCTGTATCACCTGGTGATGCAGGCGCTGGTCATGAAGACACTCGTGTCTTCACAGAGTACGAGCTCGGTGTCTCGTACTCTCCTGATACGGAAGACGGATCCGTATCGACGGCGATTGAATCCAAGCCGCCTGCCAAGCGTGGCATGGACGATGCTTTTGCGTCGCAGCATCTTTGGTTCATCTGATGAGTCAGATGAACCATCGCCGAAGCGAAGGCGCTCGAGGTCGCGAGACTCGGGCGCTAATAGTGGTGTCGTTTCTCCAATGGACACCACTTCACAGCGAGGTGCCAGTACTTCTGTCGGCACGTCGCAGGAAGAGCGGGACCGCAATGTGTTGCGTCTCGCTCCAGAAAAGAAGGCATGGATGCCTCCTAAATCTGTCATGGATCACTTGTCGGCGACGACGAGTGATCGTTATCGAACACGATTGTTCGATTCGTCGAGGATTCATCACCTTGACCCCAGCGCGAAGGACTATCGCGCTGAACATGAGTTCTTCATCGATGCTTTCTTCAGACATCGATGGTACAGTGGGAATCACAAGCGTGATGGTCCCTCACTGCTTCAGGCGTGGAACGCCTACATCTATAACCTTGAGGATGTAGGTCGTGACGCTTGGAACGACAAACTTATCAAATCTCGTGATAAGTTTGAAAAGCGAACCCCGACAGGTGCACGCTACAAACTGCATCTTCTGTCAAGGGAGAAAGGATTACCCTGCCTTTCTTGGGGAGACTCGTGCCCATGTTGTGTGAACAACTCTGCACGAGCACCTAAGGAGGCTTACCTCCTTACCAGCCCGTGGTGGCGCGTACGTGTCTCTACTGAGATGTACGAAGGGATTGACAACCTGAAATCCCTTTACGACCGTGCCGGGAAGACTTTCTCCGGCGGTCCTTCTGCGGCACAGGATGTGTCGCGTCGTACTGCTCGACCAGACCCAGTACGTCAACCATCAGTTGGGAGCGGGGCTCCCAAGAATCCCAGGACGGGGGATAGCCGCGCCACCGGACGAGGTAACTCGTCCGACGTCCGTTCACGTCGCGGTGGTTCAACAGCTGCTCTACTAGATAGCGCTGGCCACCGCGAGAGTCCTCTAATGGAGGTGGAGGAGGAGGAAAGACGCTCTCCACACGATCATGTGGATCGGTGTGTTCCCGAGAGCTTCTTTGATCGCGTAACGCAAGGGTTACGCGACGATCTCGAGCATGAGCGGAATAGGCGTCTCCAGATGGTGGACACTGCCTCGAAGCATCGAGCTGAGTTTGCCTTTGCTCAGCTTGAGAACGAGAGATCTCTGACATCTCTTCGTGACGAGCTAAGGGTAGCTCGTGGGATTGTTGATCGGTCTCGGGCTGAGATAACTGCTCTTCAGACCCTTGTTGATGCCCACCATCGGGAGCACAAGGCTCTCTGCGAGATGCTTGAGCGCAAGGGCGTTCTTCATCGGAAGAAGCAGCGTACTGATGGTACGGCTTAAGCCGACCAACGTAAAACGTGGGATGCGTTCGCATCTTACGTGGTAACTCGATCGTGTATGCATTGCCTAGGCGGTGCAATACACGAAATGGGCCAATGTACTTGGGTAGTAGTTTACTGCTACCCAAGTTAGTCACTACATGTTTTGGTAGATTAACCGTAGACAGTAGGACTAAGTCACCTTTATCAAATAAAAGAGTGTTTGCCCTTCCATTCTTGTCAGCGTTTTGCTTTTGCTTATCCACCGCTTCGGCGATGGAGTCTTGCACAAAACGGACTACCGTTTCACGAGCCAGTATGAACTCATCTGATGACTCGTTAGCTTCAGTGTGCTGTGAGCGCACTGCAGCGACAACAACCTTTTCTTCAGTGAGGGCTTCCGCACTCTCACTGGGATCATTGTCTTCAGTGAGGGCTTCCGCACTCTCACTGGCATCATCTTCTTCGATATCGATGTTATCGATATCGGCATCAAACGCAATGACTTCTTCGTCAGAGCGTGATGAGCGTGAACCAAATCGGTTTTTGCTCGCGCGAGTCCCTCCCCCCTTAAACCAGAGTTACACTCTAGTAAGGTGGGTACACGCGGATGGCGCAAGCCATTCACGTAAAACGGTGTATGTGTCGTGGACGCATGCACCGAGTTGTTGATGGCAAACTCTACCATCGGCAAAAACTCACTCCAACTCTTAAAGGAGTGTACGTATCCTCGAAGTATCTCTTCAAGGACACGATTGGCACGTTCCGTCTGACCATCTGACTCTGGATGATCAGATGTTGACATCTTCAAGCGCGTTCCGAGTGATTTGAACACGGAACGCCAGAAATCAGCAGTGAATCGTGGATCTCTGTCTGATACGAGTTCACGGGGCAACCCATGAAGTCGGAAGATGGTGTCAATAAAGACACAAGCACAGCCACTTGCCGTGATTGTCTCTGGTACAGCCACAAGGTGTACCATTTTGCTGAGTCTGTCAACAAATACGAGAATACCCGTATTCCCGCGTGCGTCTTTGGGTAACCCGAAGACGAAATCCATTGAGATGGATTCCCAGCACTCAGCCGGAACCGGTAGAGGCTGTAAAGGTGCACGCAGTGAAGGACTTGACTTCACTCGTTGGCAGACTTCGCATGCGCGAACATACTTTCGCACAAACTGATACTGGCGGGGCCAGTAAAAGTCTCGACTTACCGTGAGATATGTTTTCTCTCGGCCACGATGTCCTCCTATAGGAGCATCGTGATACTCGAACATGATCCGCAAACGCAGATCAATATCATCTGGAATGACAACACGTGGTGTGTCACCAGAAACGGCTGTATAGTACAGTAAACCGTTACGAGTAGTGTATCGATCTGATGCAGATCGATACGCAGACGACAATCGTTTCAACGATTCTCGAGATGGTTGGGAGAGATGTGACAACAACTTCACTATCTCACCATCTTGGGCGTATGCCCGCCTCACATCATCATACAACGTTGTAGTTGGAACTGAGGACGTCATAACCGCAACAGTGACTGTCTCACTGTTGGGTTTCGCGACTGTTTCAAAGTCGGGACGACGTGAGAGTGCATCAGCGACGACATTAAGTCGTCCTGGTTTGTACTCGACCGTAAAGTTGTATTCTGCAAAGAATGACAACCACCGCGCCATTCGTTGTGAAAGGTGCGGGCTGTTCACTGCCGTGCGTAAGGACGCATGGTCAGTGTAAACAACGAAGGTTCTATCTCCTAATAGATAGACTCTGAACTTCGCGAGTGCATACTTCATGGCAAGGAGTTCCTTGTCATGCACTGGATAGTTCCGCTCAGCTGGTTGCAGCTGACGCGACTGATAGCAGACGACGCGTTCAACGCCTTCAAGGTCGTACTGCATTAATGCACAGCCGATTGCGAAATCGCTGGCATCACAGACCACATGAAATGGCCTGTCCTGATCGGCTATTGCTGGGACTGGGGATTGTATCAAGCTCTGCTTGATACCCTCAAAGGAGCGTTGACATTCAGCGTTCCATAACCACCTCTCGTTCTTTTTCAACAAACGAGAGAGGTGTACAGTCATCTCGGCGTAATTGCGTGAATACTTATGCAAATACGCCGCTAGCCCAAGGAATTTTCGAAGACCTTTGACATCGACCGGCACGGGCCAGTCGGTGATCGCCTTGATCTTTTCGGGATCAGGACGTACACCGTTCTTACCAACGATGCACCCAAGAAGTGGTATTTCGCTTGCTGCAAATATACACTTCTTGAGGTTTTCATACAATTGATGCTTTCGCATGATTGTAAGAACCTGTCGGACGTGGTACCTGTGAACCTCAACGTCCGACTTTCCATCCATAGCTCGACTATGGATGAATACGTCATCGAAATAACTCGGCGCGAATTCTCGTACTGGTCTCAACAGATGTGATACACATCTGTTGAACGTGGCAGGGGCATTACTAAGCCCTTGTGGCATTACTAGCCATTCCCAGAGCATACCGCTAGGCGTGCTAACTGCGGTATAGGGTATATCCCGTTCCCGCATAAGGATTTGATAGAAGCCATCCATCAAATCCATGGACGAAAAGATGGTACTCTTTGACATACCATCAATGATTACGTCCTTCCTCGGTATCGGCGTCTGAGCCGGTACCGTTGCAGCATTCAATTTGTTGAACGCGTGCACTATCCGCCACCCTCCTGTTGCTTTTCGCACACAGAAGGTCGGAGAGCTATGTGGGGAAGTTGATTCCCTCACATGGCCCGCAGCTAAACGATCGGCAAAGAGCTTGTCGATCGCAAGTACTTGTTCACGAGGCAGTGGCCACTGCTTCATGACACAGTACTTCGAGCCTGGTTTAAGCTCGACCTCGTGTCGAATACCTTTATCCTTCGGTAATTCGCACGGAACAGTTTCAGGGAATACATCCTTGAATTCAACCAAATCTTCATAGAGAGGATTTGTCTTGAGCGATTCCCACGATTGGGAGTCATATCGCTCAACTCGTGTCTTTTCATCGAGGACACTCTCGTCCATAGATGAACTACTGAGAACTCTCTCGTTCTCAGTGAACACTGTTGCTGACCTTATGTCGGTTACACACTCGTCGTCAGCGACGAGTATGCAGATCTGCTTGACTTTGCCACTACGCAGATCACGCAAGAACCTTTTATGTTCGAGCGTTGGCAACTGAGTGATCTCCGAAGTCAACTTCGGAGGCGCAATCAGATCAAGTGTATAAGCGCCTACACATGATCCGTTATTGACTATGACATTCAATGTCTCTGTCATTTCCTGGGGACTTATTCCCTCAGGCTTCGAAGGACTTATTCCTTCGTCTTCCCGGGGACTTATTCCCGCGGGTTTCGGGGAACTTATTTCCGCCGTATTTGTAATCTTGGGACTTATTCCCTTTACTTCCTCTAGCTGGGGTTGCGCAACCACAGCGAGATCCTCTACGAAAGACTCTCCAGTCGATCTAGGATTATCGTTTCGCTTAACCTGAGCGATCGATTGTTTCTCTTCTAGATGTTCCCCTCTAGGGATACATCTTTGTCCCAGTCCACCCGACTTATTCGAGTGGTGGACCTTCGGCGCAGCCTGTGTTTCCTCACAGCCGCCGGAACTTTGCTCCGAAGTGTAACCGTTTGGTACACTAAGGTTTTGTGCAGTCGTACTAACGACCGTACCACAAGTGAGGCCATCGCACTCACTCGTAGTACATCCACACGCTTGTGGACACTCCAAAACGTTCATCAGATGGCCATCTGATGAACAAGCGGCAGGCATCGTTACTGTTCGATGTTGCCAGTTTACCCGTGGTTCGTACCTTCTGAGCCACGGTATTCCAAGGATGACATCAAATTTGTCATCCAAATCCAATACGATAAAGTCATCGTCGTATTGGGTATCTTCTAGCGTATAGTGAATCTTCACTATACGCTTCATGACGGTTACGGATGCGCCTGTCGCAAGACGTACCGTCATCCTCGTAGGAGGTGTGTCACATTCACTGAATTTAAAGTGACCATCTTCTAGCGATTGGCGTCGCACAAAATTGTTGGACGCCCCACAATCGACTAGAGCTCGAAGGGACAACTTATTCGTCACTTCGAGTTTCAAGGTAATGAGTGAGATCTCATTACCTAGAGCAGCAACGCACAACGTCTGTGTGTTGGGAGCAACCTTCATCAAGAGGCCTACAAATTCTCTTGACGTTGCTGGATCAGTAGGGTGCTCCGCACCTACTGATCCTGTCCGTTTTTTGACGGTCCATCCCGTTGTTGCGTCTTTGCACCAACTGCGGACCCACGTCCCTGCCCCTTTCTCATGGGTGGACGGTCACTACGCCCAGTGTCGCGAGACACTGGACGAGGGGCACTACACTCGTAAGCGTAGTGTCCTGTCTTTTGACATCTGTTGCATCTCTGCAACTTCTTGTAGCCTGTAGAGCGAGCCTTCTCGCTCTCTACATAACAGAGTTCCATCGGCTCTGGACCTCCGTTGTCATATCGTCTCGGTTGACGATATGATGTCGAGCTGGCGCGAGCCTGTCTCAGACTGAAGTCTTCCTGCTCCGCAATGAAAATGGCTTGTTCTAGTGAATCTAGTTCAAGCCGGAACAGGTGAGTCTTGACGGGACCATCCGCAAGACCCTGCATGAACACCGAAACCAACGTGTGTTCATCCACCGGATTGGAACTTATACAACTCGTGAGATGTCGTATATGTTGAGCGTAAGCGTGCACATCACGCTTACCCTGCTTGAGCTTCAAGAGTTCGGTTCGAGCTCTGAACTCAGCTCTAGGCGGTTCAAACGTTTGTCTGAGCCGCGACTTGAAGACTTCCAACGACCCAAACGCATATGGGTCGTGCAACTTGAGCCCCAGTGCCCAAGTCTTGGCACGTCCTGCCAGATTTGACTGGGCAAATGCAACTTGCATATCCCCGTCGTCGATGCGACGCGCCCTTATGGCGTCATCCAATTCGACGAACCATCTCAAGAGGGAGTCTTCTTCGACCCCCTATACTTTGAGATGTCAATCTTCAAAGTCTCGGGCCGACGCGAGTGCATCGACCCGCCAGCAGCAGCCTGCTGCTGTCTCAACAGTTCAAACTGTTGAGCACCTTGTTCTCTCAACGACTCTGCTTGTTGAGAACCTTGTTGGTGAAGCAAGGCTACTTTCTCGCGTTCTGCGTCAAGTTCATTTTGAATGAACTTGGCGATAGTAGCATGTTGGGCATCTCTATTGAGAGCCTCTAGCATGACGCTAACAGCATGGATGCCCATGGTCGAACCCATTCGTTCAACCGCATCCCATTCGACATCGCTCAAATGGGAGTAGCCGTCACGCGTAGCGTGAAAGCTTTGGTCATCTTCATCATCCAACATATTCATGTTGGATGTGAACGCGGTCCTTGGACGGACTACAAAGTGCTACCAGGTGTAACGGGGCACCCTGAAGCTTGTACTGGTGACAGTACAAGCTACTTATTCTGATGACAGGATAAGGCGGTGCCTCGTAACTTCACGTACACTCGTACGTGCAGAGGAAGACGGTAAGAAGAAGCGAGTACTCGGTTAGAGTAAAAAGTAGAACTGTATTTATAATAGTTAATGTCTGCAATAAATCACTATTTATCTTCATCTAACTATGTCTAAATACAAATGTGTAAATCAGTTATCTGCTCACCACTCATTGCGTGCGTCTGTCGTGGCGCGTCTTCGTTGGTTGATATAATGGCCTATATCAACCAATTAGGAACTACTTGGAAGTGCTACAGAATATTGTCCTTATGACAATATTCTGAGAATATAACTCTTATAGTTATATTCTATTAACAATTTCTTATAAATTGTTATGTAACGATTCACCCCGTTACACTAGACGCATAATCTTCCAGATACCACCGAACCTGAGAGGCCGACTCTGTGCGTGACATCCCTAACCACCCCCGTCTGACGTTTTCTAACAAATGAGCCCGATGATCGTGAGCAAGGTGACCTTCAAGATCGATAAGCCCCGTATACTTGTTACCTCGTTTAAGGCAAGCCGTTACACTCTCCATAGACCTATCTGGAGCATCAAGATTATCATCTGCTGCCGATTGTGCGATAGCCATATCGAGGCAATTACCTGTTGCCAATGTGACAACCGAGCGAATGCCCAGTTGCAGTTCCACGTCAGCTAAGTCTGCCGGAGTATTCGACGACCGAGCTCCCAGTGGTAGAGCCGTAGGATCCTGATGTTGCATACTCGCAAGCATCTTGCAAAATGACACCCTCTCATGGCGCTTCAGGGTCAGTAACACCGGCATTGTTGATACTGGAGCCGTGCCCCTCTGATGTCCGGCTGCTTTTCTGACCTGCTCATCTGGTGATAAAAGAGATGCTCGTGGCTTTTCCTCGTAATTATTTGCCTCATTTGCAGGCAGATCAACTACATCGGGGCCTGATCGAGGGACCGTGGAATAACTTTGGCCATGAGAAGTCGCTGTTGTCGCCTCGTCGTCCTCCTCCAAGACTGAAAATATTCCCGACGCCAAAAATGGTCGCGATGGAGATGCACGGGCGCATGGACCTTTATAGCGCCCTCCCTAAAAAAAGGTCCTGAGAGCCAAGGTTGATGATCAACCGTTTTCGGTTGAGGCTGAATGTGCTTCCTTGTTCTTCCTGCGGAGCACTGCTGATGTCGGGTGGTGCCGTCGGGTGGCTTCCAGGTGACATCCTTGATGCTACACTGAGTCCGGATGGCGTAACCGCTGCCTGAGATACCTGCTCTGCACTTCTCTGGATCTGGAGTCGTTGCGATGCCATGGATTTGAGCTCCGCTAGACTGGAGAAAAGTTTTGCAAGGTCTTCCAGGTCCCGCACGTCCCCTTCGGTCACGAAAATTCCACCTGGACCTCGTAACTGTGCGTCCGTAAAGCTGCACCTTACAAGTGTGTGCCCGAGGTTGCCGTACTGAAGGCACTGCAACCTAGTCCGACATTCGGGTGCTTGAGAATAATTGCTGTGCCAAACCAGATGAGACGCACAACGCCATCCAGAAAGGTTGGACAGCCTGCGATCTTAAACGTTATTCTGCTTATAGTTGATGTCCTCGAATTCGGGGTGTGCGTGTCCATGTCTTCCATAGTAATGTCGGTTAGTATGTTCTCCTTCAAAAACGCCGCAATTTTGCCAACGTCACTAAAACGCGTTAGATTAGGCAAGTGGACAGTGCACCCCTCGAGCTGCCCGGAAGGGGACCCATTGAGCCCTGTCTGCCGCTGCCAAATTGACCCCGTTTCATGTCAGTGAGCATTCTGGAGACGATACAGTCTCCCGTAAAGTGGCACCTAGACCTCTTTGTGACGGGCCGCTGTAGTCCGCGTAAAAAATAGAAGTATACGGTTTTGTTGATGTAATCGTAGCTGATCGTCTTCGTTTGACTAAGCATTCGGTGGAGAGCGCGTAGGTCAAGCCGCATAAGCTCTGCCGATTCCAGTACAGTATCAGTAATGGCCTTCGTTGTTCGTCTGCTCACCCTGATGCTGCGAGATCGGTCTAATTGAAGAGTTAGCTCACCTTCGACTTGGGCCTGGATAGTGCTGTACAGTTGCACCCGTTCCTCGCTTTTAAGAACTTGTGTGACAAAAGCCGGCATTCGCCGGCATGCCACAGTGCCTTCCACCAATCCAGCGATGACTGCCCACTCATCATCAGTGCCTTCCCGGATCTGTTGCTGCCTTGTGCGAGTCCCTAAAGCTCCACAAAGAGCTCGTAGACGAGCGATAGCCTCCACCGAGAAAGCTGGTGGATCAAGCATATACTCCTCGAACCGGGGAGTCCCTTTGCTGTCGCGGGGTTGGTCGGGAGTCGGTGATGCCTCGTCCGTGCGAACCAGCCCACTGTCTCAGGACCGGTGAATGGGCCCACTTATGCTGGCTTGCAAAGACACGTACGATCTCCTTAAAAGCCCACTTCGTGTTAAACAGTTCGCGTGTGTTCGCCATGGCCATTTGTTCCACTCAGTAAAGCTGCCTCGTCGCTGAACATGAGCCTGCTCGAACAGACCCAGTAATAGACTCGCTTTGGCTGCATTCAGTAAAGGAAATCTCTGTCGCTCAGCCGGCAGTTCCTCTAAACGCACTAGTACTGCGTGATACACCTCCGCGAATGGGTGTCGAAATGTGTTGCACCACGCTCGCACAGGCCCTAAACGAGGGATTTCTGCCATTTCCTCTATCAAAGCGGCCAACATCTCGTTCGACGACACGGTAGGCGAACTGGGCGTCCACCCGGTTCTGCGGAGACCTCTCCGATGGCTTAGACCGGGCTCAGCATCAGTGCTGCTCTCCCCGTCTCCGCCTGGACCTGTCCCGCTGGTGTGGCTCGAGCCGCCAATCTTTGCCCCCGTGTGCGCGGGCAAATTCTTCGGCTCGTTGGGATATGCCTGAAGCTGACCATTAGACGAATTCCCAGCGTGGGCATCCCGTCCAGACTGGCCGGAGCCTACGTCCACCCCTGTGCAGATGGGGGCCGTATCTGCCCGTCTGTTTGGTATCGTGGACGTGTCCCCAGTGTGGATGCCGGTGAGTACGTCCGCCTTGGAGCCCGCGTCCTGCATATTGCCTACCTTGTCTTCCCCTCCTCCTGGTGGAGGAGAATTACATGTTGGCACTGCGCTCGCTTTTTGCTAGCGTTAAACTATTTATAGGCGATTGGCGAGTTGCTACATGAGCACGAATTGGTATTGTCAAAATCAACACGCACACTGATTAACGACGACTGCTACAACGAAGCTGGATCAGACTGCGCGTTGCTCAAGAAGAGTAGAAAACTTGTAAAGCTGACAATTAAGTCATTTAAGTCCCTGGTTGGAAGCTGGTTGTGTGTCCCGCAGTGCACTCGCCCGAACATCACGTTTGCGGTGCACAAGGCCACGCTCAGAAATCACGAGCCACGAGAGTAAGCCTTGAAACTGAAAAAAATTGCGCGGTACCTCGCCGCTATCAATAAAATGCGATTTGAAATGCAGGCGAGTATCTAAGGCGATAATGCAATTATGCTGAATCCTACAGCAAGCAGATTTTGCTGCAGAAAAGACTGACAGGAACTCTTTAACTGGAGCAATGGTGCAGCTCAATGGAATGCCTGTTAGCTGGTCTGCGAAGAAGCAAGGAGAGGTTTCCATTTTGACGCGGATGTTGAATTTGTAGCAGCGTTAGAGACGGCTCGAGAGCTCCTCCGAATTATAGTTTTCAATGGAAGTGGGACTAGCGTCAATTCTACCAATGAAGACGTGTATGAACAATCACGCGGCCATTCGCCAGATCGAAAGCGAGGCTTCGTCCCTACGGTCAAATCATAATGATGTGCAGCTTAATTGTTTCAAGTCCAATGCTCGTCGTGGAATCCTGGAGCCATGCTACATACAGTCCGATCTTATGCTAGCGGACGTACTTACCAAGGCGGTAGATCAACACAAGCTTGTAAAATTGCGGATGCTAGTGAATTTGCACTAGTAAAGGTTTACGTGATGCGATCGCGAGGAGGAGTGTTGAAGATAACGTGTTGAAGAGGAGGTACGCTATCGCAAACTCACATTCATTTGCTTACCCTTTGTAGTAACCGGTAGGTTTCGGGCAGGCTAGGGAAGCGTTCATGGTTGGATGGTGATGCTGCATGTAGATCGATTGGTGAGCAAGACATCGGAAATGCTTAGGAGACAAAGCAACTAGGGATTTAGATGCAGGTTAGCATGTCCAATAAGAAGCACTATTCAAATAATCGCCTACTGGACACTACGCATCTGTCGGCTGCTTCACCCTTCGGGCTCGCAATTACCTTCATGAAATACAGGTGTGGCTTCATTTGATCAATTTTGCCAAACTTGGCGGATGCTTTTCCCCGATTTTTGTTTACGATGGCAAATCTAGCAACTGCAAAAAAAAACTTTGCTAAGTGCTTGCTTGTTTTTGCCATCTGCAGGATTCCATACTTTTCCAAATTTTAAGCCATGCTTGGCCAAAATTATCCTAGGTAGTCGCATCCCACGTTCATGATTTCTTAATCTAGAATATACGTCTTACAATGTATCAATCTATCATTACATTTTGGCCGCGCAAGTTTTTAGCCGAAACGTCAAATTCAACGTCACGTCATTGGCCAGATCGTAGGAGGTCTAACGTTGCGGCATCATGGTTTAAGTCCTGTAAAATTTTGCTTACAGCAACTAGATCTGATGTAGGTCATGCTGCATCGGGGTCAAGAACACGGCCAGTAGTAGCTTAGTGAGCACTTCGACGCGAAGTTCGATAGAGCATCATGTCTCCATCCACTACCCAGACGTAAGAAGCGTTTCTGTACGACGACATAAGACCATCTCAACACAAGTCCATCAAAATCTTTGCAGCATGACCAGCAAAAAACTCATGTGCTGTTTACGTGCACTGCTCCAGCGCGTCTTTGACCTCTCCGCGCATGGCTTTCGACACGCGAGGCAAGATCGACCCCTTGCCGATCCAGATGTTCATGCTCACTTGTTCGTTTCCCTGAACTCGGACAACAGCAGGACCCACTGGCATACCGGAAAGTGACTTCTGTAGATCGGACGACAGCGCATCAAATGCCACGTGATGCTCCGCGTTCGTGAGAAGAATCGAGAAGTCGGTACTCGGAATGTCTAGCCGTCGCTTTGTAAAAAAGCCATCAAGGAAGCCGAGACTCTCCTCCGACGGGCGATAGAACACCTCGCCACGCTCTGTAGTCTTCGTGAATACCTTCAAGCCCGTGTTTACAATCTGTTATGCACACATGGTACCCATTAGATCAGCAGCTTTACAGCACAGTAATCATGAAAACCACTAACATCAAGTGCGTCGCCGCCCAAACAGGCATCAGAGATTTCCTTGTCCACGTAGTTCACAGTCGCTGCAGTATCAGAGCGACACCAAAAGTGCCCCTGGACATTCACGCAAAACTTGTTAACCGTACTATCGCACCCCCACAAGATCGTTGTTCTCTCACCGCTAGCGACTCATCTTCAAGGCCATAAAACTCTTGCAAGTGCTGCCACACATCGTCACCAATAGCGCGATAAAGCGTCTCACGCTTCTTTTCAGACTGTTTCTTTGCACCATTAGCTGCATCTGTCGACACGTCCACACGCTTTTTCCGTGACTCCGTAAACGGGTTCGAAGCAGCAAATTCTGCGTCCGATAAGAACTTTTGGCAGCTTTTCAAGAAATGGCCACCCTTGCCACACAGCTTGCAAATGTAATCAGCTGGTGGTATCATCTCCATTTCTTCCAATTGTGAGAGGCCTTCCTGACGTCCCTCCTCACCAGGCAAATCGCGCACTTTGCGTAACACAGCAATGAAAAATCCACCCGAATTCTGGTCAGTTGGGATGAGACGAAGTGTTTTGCGCAGTTCCTGGGCAATATCACCTTCGGGTGAAAACATGGATCGTGTCACTCGCTTGCCACGAAGTCTCTGCACCATCGAGTCGTATCTGTCGAACCATTCGTGATACTTAGGACCCGCGTGATTGATTTTACCATTGGCACCCTCGAACAGATGGCCTTTGTTTGTAGACTTTGACTTTGAACGCCAGCCTACACGCCATTTTGATCGACCCGGGCGGACAACAAGCTCTGGCAAGTTTTTTGAAACATCCAGCAGCTCGAGTGATCCCCCAGCACGACGCAGCAGTTCCGCCACAACAGCTTCGTTTTCCACAGGGTTGAACGAACACGTTGAGTAGACCATTAGGCCGTTGACCTTAAGCAGTGCTGCCCCACGAAGAGCCAACGCTAGCTGAACCGGATGTAATGTCAGACCTTGCCCGACATGCCATTCTTTCCACAACGCTTGATTTTTGCGTAGTGTTCCGTCACCGCTGCAAGGAACATCACACAGCACCCGGTCAAACACGTTCGTAGGCTTTAATGTCGCTGTTCCAGCGTCGTAAAGACCTGGGAACGTGTCACCCGGACCACAAGTTACCACAGCACGACGAAGCGTGTTCCGTGAAAGGCGGTGCACAAGCATATACGCCCGTTTCTTGTCAAGGTCATTGGCAACGACAAGACCGCTCTGTTCTTCACGATTGCTACCCTCTGATGACAGCAAAAAGTCAATGACCTGCGTCGTTTTTGAACCAGGAGAAGCGCACATGTCGAGCACACGGTGACCCCGCTGCACCTCTAGAAAAAGCACGGGCAGCATGCTCACTGCCTCCTGACGGTCAATATTTCCACGATCCGTCTGCTCTAACAAACACGTGTGGAATGCACGCACATCCTTGTGTTTCGGCGCTAATCATCAACTCCACGAAAACATCAAAAAAGAGCTGCTTGGACCTCGAATTACAGCAATGATGTCATCGAATAACGTACCACTTTTCGAGAGCGCGACACGCCCGCAATCCATTTGCCACGCCACATTCTCTAGCGGATACCATGCAATGGGCCTGCAAAGATTGTATAGACCATCAAGAAACAGCAGCCCTATTGTCTCGTGTGTTGCAATCACACTTACGTTGGTGGATTAACGGGAATGGTACCGTAGAAATACCGTTGACTCGGAAATTGATGTTCCACAGCCAGCAGTGTCTTCAGTCTACAACAAGAACACATTATTTTAGGCATTTTACTGGACCCAAAGTTGTGTATGAGCACGTAAACGCAAAAAGCATGAACCTTGCAGCGTCTGGACGATGTAGATTGAGACGGAACGAAATGGGTAGAGGCTCGTGTAGTAGCTGCATCAGCTGGTCCAGCTCCGCCTCATCTTGGACTGCACCGGTTTCGTGCTGTGGAAAAAAAATGGATCGTCAGAGTGCAAAGTGATGGTTTGCGCTATGTACGTGTCATACGGAAATAGCGCATTGCGTGTAGTACCAAATACTCGCGGAAGCTCTGTTTGTACACGGCCAAAGACGCCTTGGTTGTTGTTAGAGTCATAAGTAGTGGAAGGACCAACCAAATAATGCACACGACAAAACGATTGACAGGTCACTCGAATGTAGGATACATCCTAAAGTATTGGTCCTATGTTAGGAAGGGAAAGGTTAATTGTACCGGTCCCGAGCAGGTCATTGTACTGGAGATTTGAACAGCTAGTTAAAATATGATAATTCTTACCCAATTCTATTAATTAGAACCTAATTCTGATGGATCCGCAATTTAACTAAGTGGGGTTCAGGACTGACCGTATTCAATCATCTTCATCCGGCACTATTTCTTCGTTACAATCACATTCTCTATAGCGGAGCTACAGAGCACGCCTAAACGGAGGAAGTCTTAAACTCAAAGAGTCTCATAATTCCAACAAACTAACAACGACGTACAGTCGTTTAAGTGCACAAGCTTAACAATCTCGGTTCCAAGGGATCACGATTCACAAAATCACACACTAACTAGTCACTACTGGTTAAAAAAGAGTAAGCGCCTTCACAAGGCCAAGACTCTTACAACACACTACGCCTTGACTGGACACTTGTGTCCAACGATTCTAAAGGGGAACTGAACTTTATTTTCTCTTTAACTACGTAATGAAACCCTATTTCCTTGTCTGACTTCTACATAACACGGTTTTACCCATAATCCTAATGGTGTAAAACACCTGCAGGGCTGGCTATAATTACGATCCTGTGGAAAAAAAATTATCCCTCATCCCTAACCGATAAGGTAAGGTTCATCCGTAAGTACATGGTAACAGTACTGTACCCCTCAGAGTCCGATCTTTATTTGGTGTGGACACACAACATAACCATTTCAATGACCGCCGTGTAACCCCGTTGCAACCTAGACACAATGATCGACATCTCGTGACTAAACCCCATGCAAGTGCTGCCGCGAACAATACCACAGAGCACCAAAGTCGGATTCGTTGAGCCGAGCAATCAGATATGAAGGAATGTCTAGAACCAGCGGGGGAGAAAGATATGGTGGCGGTATCGCGGACGGCGACGCAAGCTAGAGCAAAAAGAGGTGGTGGTGACTGCCATGATCGTGAGCTGCTAATGGTGGTGAAGGGATGGAGTTCTTTTTTGACAGAATAGAAACGATCTTGAATGTGTCTCAAAGGTCTTAAGCTGCTCTATAGAGAGGGCCTATATTTAAACTTCTCGTTAAAGCAGCATTTTAAGAAGTAGTAAAAACAACAATCAGTTAACTATATAGATAGGATCTTCAAGCCTATTATAACTGTTATTTTGTGACTTCAGGCTACAAACAAGTTGGTGCTTGATTGTAATGACTTTCCACTAAAAGCGGTTGCATGTTTTATAAATGCTTTTGACGTGGCTACAGGGTGTTGTAGACAGCTTTGAGAATGAAAGCAGACATTCCAAGAACTGTTTGATTTTTGTTAAAAGGGAGTTTGAGTACGTGGTGATGGCGCCTAAAATGATTGATTGTACATTGTCGACAACTCTATACACCTACATCATCGATTGAAAGTCAAGAGGATGTTATCTAGCATCAAGATCCGAATTTGTGGCTCGACATCGTCGATCTGTAGCGTTCGTGGTGGCGCTGCAAGAGTTGCTCATGCATTTTATTACTCACGTCACATTTCTTGGAGGTGCGTACCCTAATTACTGTAGCATACTGTTGTGACATCGTCATCCTGCAGTGCTAGGTAGTATTGGGCGTCAAGGGAGACGTCATCAGAGTCCATAGCTTTTACAAATTACTATTTCAAGCTTTACATGCTGCATAAACAAGGGAGATTAATCGATGCGCGTTAAGTCGACAAAACAGAATTATTGGAAAAAATCTTATGACATTTGACCTAACAATTGAGGAATCGGAGTCCAAACACTCATATATGAAAAGGACAAGAGTTCTCAATTAGGGTGAGCAGACCCCGCGCCTACCCTTTTTTTGTTATCGGAATGCCTCCGTTACATGTAAATTTACGTATGGTAATCATCGAGAATGGATGTTATGTTAGGACATACATAATATTCTCACAATATTATCCGATTCGATAATGCTGCTTTACAGATGTAAAACACTACTCATTAATTGATACATGACCACTATACTAACCAGCATAGTCTAGCCACGACAGAAGCACGCAATGAGTAGTGGGAAGATAGCTACAATTCGTGTTTGTAGTTTAAAATAATTAAATACAGTCAAATAGGAATATGTTGAAGGAATACACACTAAATATACTTCTTCTTTTCACATTTACGAAGTGCTTGTACTTCGTCTAACAATCCTTCTTTGTACGTACGTGTACGCGAGGTAGTCGGACGCACACACCCTTGCACCGTCAGCAATGCAAGTTTTGTGCTAGCAAATGCGTAGTGTGGCGGCAGTAAAATAATACTGTTCGTTGTATTAAAATGATACAACTGCATCATAGTATCTAGTCGTCTTGCCTACCATCCGTCCTATAAATCTTGCTTGTCAACCATTCCTTGCGTTTCAATTAACTCTCACTGATCACGCACACCTACCCGTCCGACAAGAAGCTCCTGTTGCTTACATAAAAGAACCTAAATGTCTGTAGATGTTAAAAGCGTACCTCATGATCAATGTATATCCATATTTAAAAATCCTCCTCACAGTCGCATCGCACTCAAACAATCTAATGAAAATCCATTAGCAGCCGCAGCTTTTCGAAGTTGTGTTAGTCAATTGTCTTAGTAAAGAGATCCGCAAGTATGAGCTCGGATTGAACGTAGCACGGCTTCATTTTGCCACGACGGGCAAAGTCCTTCACGAACTCAAGACTCACATCGATATGCTTTGCACTCATGGTCGAGGCCTCACCCTCTATTTTGTGTTGCCTCTTGATATCCACATGCATTTGCATGGTTGGAGACGGCGCAAGTACCTTTTCATTAGCATTTTTAGTACTCCAAGAAGATCGCGCGTCGTTTCGGACGCTGCCACAAAAACAGCTTCCATTGTCAAAATCGAAATTTCTCGTTGCTTTTTTGCCAATCAGCTCACGGGCATTCCATTGAATGGCACCATCGCTCCTGTTAGGGACCTCTTGTCGCCCTTGCCTGCTGCAAAGTCTGCATCGCTGTAAGACTATAGCGTAATAGCATCTTGACCATCATCAACAGCACGCATCTCGAGCTATTCTTGCTTCCCGAAAGGCACCTAGCCATTTTCTTGGCCAATTTCTAGTCTTGATCTCGCGGCTGATTAGTTTGTCGCGTTGCCTTATGCACCACAAAGTGACGTCTGGACGAGTGCGCCGTGCGACCCATAACAAACCTTTAACATGGGACTGAAACGACTGAATTGAAGAGTTGTCAAGTTGTGCGTCCATTAAAAACAAGAAACTGCCTCGTCTGGCCATGTAATAGCACTCCTTCCCGATCGGTGCACGCGTTGGATTCATTGACGCCGAATCGCGCTCCCGAAGCAACCATTGCATCGCCTCCTTCCGATACAGAGCAGAGGAGTGCGCATCGAGCGCCTTGACTCGAATCTCCAGGAATTTGGGGAACTCTCCCAGGTTTTTAGTAAAAAGTTATTCCATCGCTGCGAAAAATTAATCGACCAATGTAGCCTTTCTCGAAGTGACTAGGAGATCGTCGACGTACACGCCAACTACAGTCATACCGCCGCCATCAATTTTGTAGTATAGGCACAAATCACTGATGTACTCTTTAAATCCTGATTCCTTGAGTATTGTCTGAAACAGCTCGCTCCATTGTCTTCCCGCCTGTCTCACCCCATACTTGCTTTTCTGCAACTCGAGTGTGGCTTTACTTGCACTGGACACTTCAGGCTCCTCGAGTGTTTCGACCTTGATCTTCATATCACTTAGGACTTGCAGCAATATACATAAATTTTCCTCCTTGTTAACTTTTACATATACGTTTGGAACGTCTCCGTGTTTTGCAGGTACACCCCATGTCGCCGCAAGTCCCAAGACCACTTTCATCGTCGACATTATATAACGACGGCAAAGGTAAGAGCGTAGTCAACACCGATATTCGCATGCGACGAGTCGTGCCTTAATCCGGTCCACTGCGCCATTTTCGTCTGTCTTGTTTGTATTACCACTTACCATGCAACGTTTTTGCAGAGACTGGTCGCTTTATCACCTTACAAACTCTGTTGGACTCAAGGGCCTGAATTTCTTCGGGCATTTCTTTGCTCCAACCTTCTGTCTTTGGGCTGAGCATCGCCTCATCGTGCCTCTTCGGGTCAGGATAGTATACTTGTAGCACGGTGGCTACATCAACATTCGTAAACATTTCCTCTTGCTTCGGCTGCTTAGCTGATCCATATGTGGTTAAAGGATCACGCATCCACTTCTTGAGCTTGCATTTGTCCTTTCTCTGGCTTTCACCATCACCATTGACTTCGTGAGTGATATAAGAGTCTGCTTGAGAGTTTCAATCTTGGTCTTCTCGCTGCACACTGCTTTCTAGCTGCTCGTTCTGCGAACACGAAAGCGTTTGAATATTCTTGACATGTTGCGTCACAATGACGACTTTTTCCTTGCGTAAACATACGCGATAGCTCTTAGTCTCGTCGCTGCGCCCGACGATCGTAAGTTGTTCTTCGGGTCGCGATATACGGTACAAATGGAGCCAAACTTAACGATGTTGCGTAGGTCAGAATCTTGCTGCGTTAGCACCTCGATTAAAGATGCGCTCATTTGATTTATTTATGTAGGACTGTAATCAATATATACGCCGAGTACTCAACCGCTACGCCCCAGAAATATAGCGGGAGGTCACTTACAAATATCATCGAGCGCGCCATGTCAAGCACCGTCCGATGCATAAGTTCTGCCTTGCCATTTAATTCTTGGTTATGCGCCTCGTTGACCTGTCTCGCCACGCCAGATCTTCTGCACAGTAAGTCCACGTTCTGATACTAACCGCCACCATTAGTTCAAAGAACATGTACCCTGCTATTGAAACTTCTCTAGAAGAACGCAAAGAACACCTTGAACTTTCTTGCTGCTTGGTACTTGGTATGTGCGACGGAAACACGACAGTTGTTACTCTTATGGTCAACAAAGTTGACATGGTATCCATTTCCATTCTGTCCTTTGGTATTATCGCTACTTCAAAGTCCGAGCAAACCAAACCACCAATGCGATCAATTGGTGAAATAACGCTGGTGCATTTTCTGGACTGCACAGTTTTGGTCTGTTTTACTTGCGCAAATGTGACACATTTCTTCCGTTAAGAATCAGTAAGTCTGATCTTGGATCCGGATTCGCGCGCCAAAAGCTTAATCGTGTCATTGGAGATATGTCCTAGGCGTTAATAAAAGTGCCACAGTGTTCCCGCATGCACATCCGCATCTTCTTTATCATCTTATCTCTCCATCACTTTGCTGATTGTAGTTATAGCCTGGCCGACCTCTGTTGGACCTACTATCACGTCTTGTGTCCCCAAAAGTAGCACGTTGCTACGCATCGCCACATCGAGTATTTCGTCGCCGGTAGTGAGCGATATAATCGATCGCTGAGCATCCTTGTGTTCGAGCGCGAAGCCATTTATTTCAAGTATGCCATAGGACACATTATTGCGAGTCAGCATCGGTGCATAGTAGACCTCAGTCAGTTATTTATATCTGGTGTCCCGCTTCCCATTACGCGAAGGACCACACTTCCGATCATTGTTAGCTATAGTGTATTCCCATTGGTAACCAAGCATTGGTCTTCACAATCGCAAGCACATTTAAGCAGTGCACGGTCGTTCAGCAGGTGCCTGCAGAAACCACTGTCCAGGATCCATGTATTGTCTTGTGCCTTGACATCTTGTACACACAGCGTGTGGTTGACAACATCCTTGGTTTTAGCATTGTTACGCCAAGATTCCTGTACATAATTCGCTTTCCCCAACTTATTACTTTCTTTAGGACACAGGGCTTGAACGTGCCCTACCTTTACACATCCATAACAGAAGCGCATATATCAGCGCGAGGCTTATGTTCTGACACATGAGACGTACGTCCTTGTTAAATGAAGCAACGCTTCGGAAGTCCAACTCCATAGACTGTGCGAATTGTGCAGATACTCAGCTTGAGCCAAAAAATCGACCCGGGTTCCGTCGTACTTAGCCATAATAACGTATGCAGCTTGCTTGATGCATAGCGCACAATGTTTTCTAGCACCTGCGCGTATGCGCCACAACATGCATCGCTCACCGCCACCAAGTAAAGGTAAGGATCGTACCAGATCTTGTTGGAGCCTTTTTTGCCGTAGACATTTTCATCGACTGTAAAGCATTGATAATAGTCTTGAACGTCTGATGTAAGCGTTCCATGACGTGCGCTAGAGTTGAAGTTTGTCCCCACCAAGCCTCGACCTGCTTGTTGTAGTACCAATCAGCTGTGCCACTTAGGTAGTGCTCAAGCGGGTCCGTCTTCGCGTCTTCAGACCAGTCGAAACCACAGGCCGCTTGAGCGTACTGGATCTGCCTCATGAATGTCCTTTCCCAATATAGGAATTCGGAGCCCAATCCTCGATACAGCTTCGAGCCGTCAAAGTCTCGAATCGTCAGTCTTCGTTGACGCTCACACGGAAACCTCATTGCATGTTAAGCATCCGGCTCTATGCGGCGCGCGTATTCTTGTGCTACTCGCCATTCTGGCTGTCCCGCGTCCCTGCCTGCACCATGCTGTACCATGTTCAGTCGACCTTGTCCCAATATTGGACGCACTGGTAAATGCCCAAGTGCGTCAATGTGCATTAATGTACCATCGCGACCTTGTCCCAGTGCTGAGCGGAACATCCCGACTTGATTGCGCCCATTAACCTTTCGTTCCATCGCGCTTCAGCTGCAAGTCCTTCATCTGCATCATTCGCGCTTGGAGGTCGACGAGGGCTGCGAGTATTCTTGTGTTGACTTCATCGCCCCTTTCTTGATCCGTCGTTTCTGTAGCGGAGCTACACAGCTCTTTAAGTCAGAGGAAGACTCATTTAACAAGCCAACGGCTTACGGCTGACAGCCTATTAGTCCTACGGAACCAATATATCAAGTTAAAGAGTCACCCAGTTCTAAGGAACTCGGGTAGACTCTACGAGCTAACAGCTCAACTGCTGTGTAGTTCTAGAGAACCGCAAGCACAATTTGCAGGGGAGTAGGAGTCTAAGGACTCTCTAAGATACGGCAGCTCTAAGGAATTGCAGGGCACAATGTGCGAAGGGGGGGGTGAAGTCTAGGGACTTCTGCTCAAAATGAGAACTGAACTTTATTTAGAATTTATATCAAGGAAAAGCCTACTTTAAGTATCCTATCTTATACTAAACTAGAACAAATACAAATACCAGTATTCGAACTGAATGGATGGTTGGCACATCACTCAGTCATCAAATGATAACGGTACAAAGTACGTACACGGTAAGTACCGTAAACCTGGGAATATCGATCAATCGATATTCTCTTGCTGATGTAAAATCTAAGGTCACACACATTCATCCATACCATTTAAGGAGGTCTTTGACCAATTAAGCCAATGGCTAATGTGACCCCGTTACAGTTTCCCCTAAAACTATCGCTGAAGACGCCGTGGCCCTTTCGTGGCCAGCGCCAAAGCTGAAAGGGGTTGGAGCTCTTGGCGCGCCGTCAAAATTACCTATTACGCTTATAAAATGTTAGCAAAAACGTAGTGTGGCAGTGGATAATTGAATACTGTTCGTTGTTGTAATTAAAATGATACAACTGCATTATAGTATCTAGTCGTCTTGCCTACCATCCGTTCTAGAAATCTTGTTTGCCAACCATTCCTTGCGTTTCAATTAACTCTCACTGATCACGCACACCTACCCGTCCGACAAGAAGCTCCTGTTGCTTACATAGAAGTACCTAAATGACTGTAGGTGATGAAAGCGTACCTCATAATTAACATCTGTCAATCTTCAACAGTTTATTTAGTTAGCTGAACAAGTTGTGCCTTGTAACATTCATTCTTCATATTCAGTGCTCCCACCCACCCCCATCCCCAATTGTTTTCTCGGTTTATCACCAGATTGACGCCAAACAAATAAGCCTCTTACACCGCAATAAAAAGGGTATATCGAATTACTGTGCTAAATATTACAAGCTTGCGATGTCGTGCCCACCCACGCCCACCCACTCACGTCAACCCACTTATCAACGGTTGCACCCATGACCATGTAAATCATGGGCGTGGGCGGAAGTGGGTCCGGGCGAACAGTCTGGAACTCTGCAGCGACGCTTATTGTAGGAGAATGAATGCTCAGTATCAGCTTCATACTTTCATTGTAAAAGGTGGTAAAACACGAAAAATCAGTAAAAAGTGGTATGTACTGGTAACAAGTCTCAGAGTCCTTCCTTTACATCCGTAGTTGCGCACATTTCACCAAAAAAGTGCATGCACACCACTAAATCTACGAAGATTCACCCACCTGATCTCGAGACAAAATCCCAAAATGACAACGCGATCGAATTCTTTCCAATCAACGTTCGTTCTGTTGGCGCCAACAATGTGAAATTGGCGCCAACGCCTGAAGCCCCTTCCACTAATGCTGCGTCTGTTGCCTCAACTCCGCACTCTGCAACTTTCGTGCCAGAGCACACCGTCTGTCTGTACCATGGTAACCAAACGCAGTCGTCCTGCACCCATCCTTCGCGTCAAGAAATTATCTCCACAGGCCATTTTGCCTTCGCGAGGTTCAAGTCTTGCAGCGGGTTTGGACCTCGCAGCTGCCTACGATGCTGTCATTCCAGCAGGCTCCAAGGGTCTGGTCAAGACGGACCTTGCCATTGCTGTGCCCGACTGCTGCTATGCCCGCGTGGCGCCTCGTTCGGGTCTTGCGCTGAAGAATTTCATCGACACTGGTGCTGGTGTCATCGATGCCGATTACCGCGGCAACGTGGGCGTGCTCCTGTTCAACCACTCGACGGAAGACTTTGCCGTCAAGCGAGGAGATCGAGTAGCGCAGCTCATTCTCGAGAGAATCGAGTACCCAAGCATCATGGAGGTGGATGAGATTGACCAGACGGCTCGTGGCGCGAGCGGTTTTGGCAGCACGGGAGTGTCTCTACCTATTGCCAAGAAGCACCGCGTGGCGTTAAACGACGTGCCCTTTAGTGAAGGGGAAGAAACTGCTGTTGACACGACGTTCAAGGCGCTCGAGCTGTTGTTAGTCAATAAGGTGATGGACGACGACATGCGGCGTCTTCTGAAAAAGAAGCTCTATATGGCGTCCGAGAGGCAGTTCATGCTGCTGAACAAAGCGCTGAACGACTATCTTGAAGACGAGGATAGTGGCAAGGTGCTCGAGTGGATCACTGCTTTCCTCGAAGTCAAGTGAGACGGACTATTGGAGCTTCGTGAGAGGCGATTGGTAGTCTGTGACTCTTTTTTTGTGATAGAATACATTGATTGCGTGTTTGGACATCTTGGATTGGGATTGTTGCACGACCACAATTGCCGGATAGGCTGTCGAGTAGACGATGGGAATACATTGCTTGCTTACACATGCAGCTGATACTTTGTATTGTCTGCATCTGCCCAAAGCGATTGGCTAGGGTGCCCAGACGGTAGCAAGCAAACTTCCACTAGCCCAGCGCATCATGCATCCAGGACATATCACGACCTCTCTAACACAAAAAGTATGCCCGCAACAAGGCTACCAACCGAGGTTTTTGCATGTCACCATGTCACCATGTCTTCTTACTTTGTACAGCAAAGTGTCGTCCACCGTGGACTCAAGGGTCCAGATTATTACCGCTCCTTTTTCATGTACACGACGGGAAGGCACTGAATCCTTATTCAATTTGCTGCTATAGCTGCACCACACGTGGAGTCCGCATCGATAACAGATTGCCGATGTCGTTGGAGCAGGATGTACTTCATTTTGAATCCTTGCAGCTTGGTACCCCAAGCGTCGCGTCAGTATAATTACTGACATTCAGTGTGCACAACAAGAACATTCGTGGAGTGTGGAGTGTACCTGCAGAAAGTGTGTACGCGAGGTCACCCCATAAATCCCCTTGACATAATAGTGACATTTCCGTTTTTGTTCCCTTCAATGTTGCCACAACTCCATCTGCTTACAGTTGCTTGCTTATCTAGCAAGATCTTTTCACAAGCCTTTCTGCCTCTCACATGTTGCTTCTCTATCGAGCTCAGGAGGCTTCAGTACCGGCGCAATCTTTCCAGCGACGAAGACAGTGCTGCCCAATCGTTACCCTAAACCCCAAGCACCTGCCGATGAAGTCGACGCTTCACGTACCTGTTACTCTATGTTGCAGATGCATACAACAAAGTCAATGGCGACCTTGGCACACACTATAAGCGCAACAATGTACAGCTGGCTGAAAGGATTGCAGCATTCCGGCCAGACGTGATGGCGCGTCACCATAGCTTAAAAGTAATAAAGCCAAGTCCAGGAACCCTCTCTGCGTTTTACACAACGGCGTTTATACGTCCTATGAGCAGGTGCTGCAAGTTCAACGCTCACGGACGTTCATAGATTATCAGTGGACTCCCCCTATCTCTACGTCACGTTGCGTCTACGCATCGTGAGCGTGCCAATTCTTACAGTGAGCGGGCGAGCAAGACGACTTAGAGACCATTCATAAAAAAGGTTGCACTTGGCCGCGGTGATTGTGGTTAGGACACAACACATGTCGTGAAGAAACGCTATTGTCGTCAGATCGTGGAGACTTCAGTTTCATGAACATTGGCTCTGGAAGTGGAGGCAGTGCTCAACAAAGGAGTTGCTCGTGTTGATCTGAATGACATTGGCGCCTCTCATTGGTCGGTCAGCGTCGAGTATAGAACATGAGAAATTAGATAAAGCTACGGATAGGGATTGGATACTTATTGACGAATACTACTGACAAATTACCAAATGTACTTTTTTGTGCTAGTAAAGGTCTGCAAAGCCCCTTCTTGGAAACATATTCTTGTGCTCCAAGATGTGCAGTGACACGGGGACATGACCGCTTCCTTCAAACCCCATGGGTAATAAAAAACCATGGTGGCCACAGGAAGTTTGAAGAGCTCATTGTCACATCGGGGACACGAACTGATGCGCAGCATATAGCTACGGTAGGAATCACAGTCTGTGTTTGTCGGTGCTGTGAATCTGCATTCGTTTTCTCTGATTGGATGGGACACCACGTGACGCGCCACCAGGAGCTTCTGGCGACGTGGTCTGGTCACCTTCGCCGAAGCCATTATTGGACAAATGTGCGTGCCCCATCTACAACATGTACAGAGCCAGGCGACTGCACCATCTGGTAGTCCCAGATTTTGTGCTCAGTCTATAATCGAATGATTGTACCATTTCATTTCCTCTGACGACATTGACTCTAACAAGAAAGAATTGCTTTTCTGAAAAAAAAGCGCGCTCACACACAGTGATGCCCTCTATGTTGGCCGACGGATTCAATCGCACGCGTCGAGCGTGCTGCGTCTCTGGCTCATCGCTATTTATATCCACAGTTGTTGCGCGCAAAACAGACGGTTTCACTTTCTCGCCTCCTCCCGCGCGATCGTCCTCTCGCCAGACCCGCTTTTGTCACGACTTGCCCTTGAAAGTCGCGCGAAGGTCGTGCAAGCACAAAGACGGGGCTTTTCAACCCCCTGGCCGACTGCGTCAGCGCGGGTTCGGGGGAGGATCTCGACCACTTTTAAAACCGCTCCCGTCGTGCAGAGAGCGAGCGAGCAAACGAGCAAACGAGCGAGACCAAGACGACCATCACTCTGCATGGCGCGGCACCCCAAAATTAAAGGCGGCAGCACGACGCAGCCAAAACGCCGCAAAAAGGCCAGCGCACTCGGCAGCAGCAGCAGCCCCACGCTCTCGGCCACGTCGTCCTCGGGCAGCTCCTTAGCAGCGTCCGGCCACCACCGCGAGTGCGAGCAGTGCGGCAACAACGCGCTGCTCGAGGGCGTCGCTCGTGGCGCGTCGATCAAGAGCAAGAGCGCTGCGGCGTCCACGGGCTGCCAGATCTGCGACTTTGTCGCCTACCGCCGCTCGCAACGGCCCTGTGTCCAGTGCGCGCGCACGAGTTGCGACCACTTTTGCGAGTGGTGCGGCAAGGGCTTCCACGTCAAGTGCGCGCGGCTGCGAGACGAAGACGTGGGCAATCCGAACGGTTTCTGCTGCCACAAGTGCGAAGTCGAGCAGAGCGTGGACGGCCACGCAATGGGTACACGACGACAAGGACAAGAACGAGGCGATGGGTACAGACCTCAAGGACCCGATAATGGGTACAGACGACGACGACGACGACGACTGGGGTCACGATGTGGCAGCTGTCGACTGCCGTTCGCCATGACGGGGAGAGAGGGCGAGGACGGGAAGACGGCGGCTGCTGGGACGGGGTTTAAAGTGAACCAAGCCGTGCTCGTGGACAATGACGAGGTGCTGTACAACGCCGTGATCACAGAAGTGGACGCGCTGAGCGAGCGCATTAAAATCCACTTTACGCGATGGAGCAAGTCGTTTGACGATTGGTACGCGATGGAGGACGAGCACATTAACGAGAGTCTCGCGTGCGACTGCTGCAACAATTGGTTCCACATTGGCTGCTTGCCGCCTATTAAGAGCTCGGGCCGGTGGAAAGACTCGACGTACGTCTGTCCACGATGTATCGACGATGCACGGGCGTTCCATAATGACAGTCGAGCAGCGCTCAAGGCGAAAGCTGCGAATCCAACTGGTGTCACGAGCAACGCGATTGCGAAAGCGCTGAAGAAAGTGGAAACGCCGAAAGAGGGAGAAGTAGGTGGCGCGAAGTCGGTGAAGCTTGTGGAAAACGAGTAGCGGCGTCTTGGCGGGCGACGAAGGAGGCACACGAGAGAAGAAGACGGAGAGTCAAAATGAAGAAAAAGCAGAAACGGGTCGGGCTCTGAAGGGGCCGACGAAGAAGAAGCGAAAGCTGACAGACGTGGCCAATGCTTCGTCAGTGAAGGCGCGGTCAGCTGAGAGTGCGAGTGAACGAGCTGCGAAGAATGCAAGGAGGGCCCTATCTGACTCAGATGCTGCAATGCCAGCACAACCAAAAGAATTTGCGCCGGCTGAAGCTATACTGAAGATTTCCTTAGCGCCCTCGGGAGCAGGAGCTGACTCGTCAAATGATCATGCGGCATTGATGGACGTAAATATACAGGCGAAAGCAAAGACGTCGAAGATGCCTGTCGCAAAAGCAAACGCTGCTGCGTCGATGAATGCTTTGGCTACGATGCACATGTCCCCAGAGCGCACGATTAAGGCAGCGTCCGAGGCACACAGCTCGCCATATAAAGCTGCAGCCGCTAAGATTGGTGCAAGCAACGAGCCAGCTGCGGACGACCCTATTTCAGATAAGCACGAGAAAAAGTTGACGACATCTGAGACTTCTGCACCGGAGCAATCGAAGTGGCACTCGTCATGCAACACAGTAATGTCGCTTTTGAACAGTCCATCATCAAGTGGGACACCTACAAAGGCATTCAAGCCCACAGTGACCTCAATGCCCATGCTGAACACGTCAGACAATCAAAATGGGATACTTACCGCGTCACCAGAGCCGGTGATGACGATGCCGGCCAACTTCCAGGTGTACGTGAAGATGGAGCCAAACCATGGGCAATTTTCGTTGTATCCGCGTCCGGTGCCAAACGGCAAGTCAGTCCAAGCAAGTCGAAAAGAGGCGGCAGCTGTATCGACGAAATCAACGAAGGCAGCAACCGTGCGACAAACGAAGCAGTGCCAGACAGGTGCTGGAGGGCGTAACCTCAGCGCTTTCGACATTCTACGAGAAGTAGCGTCGCAGGAGATCGACGAAAGTGCCGCTTTTGTAAAGCTAAAGTGTGAGAGACGTCTTATGGGTCGAGGTATCAGCACTAGTACTAGCAAGCGTGCGAAAATGGACATGTCTACGTGTCCATCCAACGCTGCCGCATCGCCTGGGCGTACAGTGTCACCTGGTGTATTTGGTGCACGCACTGTTTCAGACACCAGCCAGTCACCGCAGACCCGCGACCGCATACAAATGAACTCGTTCGTGGACCTGCACTTCAGCATTCGCAAGGAGATGTACCTTCGTTTTTGTCGTCTGGAAGAGGAAGGGATGCTGACGCGCGACACGGCGCATTTGTTGCGCTCGCTTATATACCCGACGTCGGAGAGATTCCAAGATCTCAAGTTTGTGTACCTCGTGAACAAAGACGTATCATCGATACAGCTCACGAAGCGACTTCTGGAAGCGGTACCGTACCCTCCAACAGGGTCGAAACCAATCGCTAGGACAGTTCCTCACGCTTCTTCTAGTGCCTGTGGTGGAAGGGGTACCGGAGGACTTCCAATGTCGATGAAAATGTTTCCTGCTGGTCTGAGCTGCAACCCGTCACCTACCGGCACGTCTCACATGGGTCTACTGCCTCCACCTCCGGGTTCTACGTTCCTGAGACTGAAGCCCCCGCAATCTGACGACAGTAGCGTTTCTCGACATGTATCTGGAAATGTCGTCGTGTCCCAACCACACTCGCCGCGATCAAGTGCAAGTCCTGTTTCCGGATCCGTCAATACGGCGAAGCGATCGGAAATGATGATGATGGAGCATCTTGCACCGACGTCGCGTCGCCTTGTTGCGGGACGAGAGGGTGCAACAAGCCAGCAGCAGCAACAACAACAGCAGCAGCAGCAACAACAGCAGCAATTATTGAACTTACGGTAACAGGCGTGTCAGATAGTAGAAAGTAGGTAAGCCTGTAGCCAATGTACCATACAAGAGAGAAACAATCCCGCACTTGTACTGCAGCGTAGTTCGCTCGCGTCACCTCTGAACACGAAGTCACGAACACTACAAGGCAGTTGGTGGTTCACAAAAATGCCGCAATCAGGCCATGCTGTGGAAGCTTAGGCCGAACCTGAACACTGCTCATCGAACCTGTATCCTTATGAGAAGACGACAGCAACTGCGTTGGTCCCAATGACGACAGTGAGGTAGGTATATTGACGATCACGTGATCGGTTCCAGCGCAACAACAAAGCTCGTGCTTGTCGATAAACGGACGTCATCCAGGTAGCTGGCAGTCATCGATCATCACCTTGTTGCCTTGTCAACGTGGCGTTCGATCCATGCAGTCAGCGCCGTTGAAGTCATGAAATGCCATCGACAACTGCTCTCCTCATGTCATCCCCTACCTTGTCCATACCTCAAAGCTCACTCTGCCACGATCAATCATGCACAAGTTTAAGTATCCCGTAGCAACATCGTAACGTTCAACCCCCTCACACACACACACACACGCAGCAGCAGCAGCAGCAAACAGCTCACCTCGTACTTCCTCTTCCATTTGTCTTGGCCGAGAACACCAGATTCGGGAACCGCGCTGTCCACCGTGGAAAAAAGGTATCGCCATGATCAATCGATCGGTGTATTCTCGAGACGTAGCACGACTCCACCACGTCAGCAGCCATCGCTTCCTTGTACAAGTTCTCTCCGCCTCCAATAAACACCCGGGTGCAATCCAGATACTGCGGTTCCGAGTCGACAAGTTCAAGTGCCTGCGCCAGCGTCCGAGCGACGCGAACGCCTGACTCCTTCCGACCGCTGACAGCTTTGACCTGAGTTTGCTCCAGCGTTGACGAAACGACAATCGTCTGACGGTTCGGAATGGGCTCGTCAAACTCTTCGAACGATCGTCGTCCGACAATCAGCACTTGGTTCATAGTGACGGAACAGAAGAACGCCCAGTCAGCTGGGATGTTCCATGGCAATTTGCCTTGTTTACCAATGACGCGGTTCAAAGAGCATGCTACGATGAGAGAGACCTTACGTCCACCCTGCTGTATCATCGTAAAGCTCAAAGGTCAAGTGGTATCACTAATCATATCAAGGCTGCCTCGTGTGACCCACGACGCTCACCTGGTCAACCCTCGAGGACAGACAGGTACATTCGTTCAAAGTGCAGTACGAATTCAATGATGTTCAAGTGCACCTTCGATTTACGCCTGGCATCCTGCCTGATTAACCGAAGAGGACACGACGCATAACGTCAGCGAATTGAGACCCTGACCCATCATCGATGCCCTTGATCGTAGCCCGCAAGGTACGGGTGGCCTTCTCGACGAATGTCTCGGACAAAAAGTAGCGACCCTGCGTGTCTTGAGCGTAGAAAAAAAACTTGTACTGTGGACCAACGTCACCCGAGGCGATCGTCACGATGCCGTGCGATGCAAACGCCTGCTCCAGCTCGTTCTGCGGCGGCAGGATCGGCAACTGAACCACGACTTCAGCCACCACAGGCCGACTGCTCCATTGGCTCTGGAACATGGGCGCATCCATGACTGGCGTCGGAACCAAAGCCAAAGTGGAGCCTGCCGCTTGCGGCAGAGGACCACTTGGAGATGGGCTGAAGTCCATGTCTAACAGATCCAAGTTGGGCATGGACGAAGGCTGTGAAGGTGGCACCGTATTGCGCTGTTGCTGCTGGTGTTGCACCTGCTGCTGTTGCTGCTTGGGAGCTTCGTTGTCGTACGTTTCGTCTTCCTCGTTCTCCTCGTCTTCATCGTCATCAAGAGGTGCAGCAGTTCCAGCCAGGTGCGAGGCCGACACAAAGAGTTCGCTGGGTTTGCTGTAGACAACAGCAAGCGAGTTGAATTCTTGGAACAGCTTGTCCTTCAAGTCTGACTCAACAGACTCTGCAAACACGCTAACCGTCTCCTCCGTACGGAACTGCGCCACAATAGCTGCCGCCTGTTCCGTGGGTTGCTGCGCGAGTAACCGGTAGTAGAGCAATGCACGGTCACGCACGTCCTGGTGGTTGGAGTCATTTATAGCAGATTCAAGCAATCGACCAAGCATGCTTTGCATCTCTGGAGGACGCTTGAAGAACAGCTTCATCGTCGCAACGAGCAGTTCAAGCAAAACAGATGGGGCAGCCTCGTCATTGAAGGTGTCGATGAGCTTCTCGAGAACATACGGCGCACGTCGAAGATCTTGACCAAACTCGCCTAGCATCCATATAACTGCAGCCTTTGCAGAAGGCTGTGCTACTGCCGCAATAATGCGAGCGAGCACAGGCAAAATGTCGTGACGCTTTTCTGGGTACTTGCGCAACAGGTCCTTCATGACCACTAGACTCTCATCGCGTACATAGTCGAGGTCCAACTCTAAGAAGTCTACCATAGTATCCATTATGTGATCTTGCATCTGCTCAACAAGTTGCTCAGCCGCTAGCTGGCCATACGCTTCTGGCACATTGCCTCCGCCCGGATACTGATGTAGCACCGTGTTTACAGACAGATTCGGACTCACCGCAATGTCTGCAATCGCATGGATAGCACGTCGAGCCAGCTCCTGGTCCACGTCCGTCACATACTCACTCAGCTCCGTGACAATGTCAGCCACGTTAGCACCATCAGCGACTAGAGCCAAGATGTCGATCTTAACATACTTAACATGTGTGGGCTCGTTGTATCGGTTGTAAAATTGACGATAGTCACGGCTGAACACTTGCGGCTTCTTCCCCACCAGCAGCAAGATGTGGTGTAGTACGCAGTAATTGATCTCGTGACTACCGCCCGCCATCAACGTAAGCAAGGGTTGTCGCATGCGTTCAAATACTTGGTCTTGGATCTGTTCCATCCCACGAGTCTGCGTGAGATTAAAAAAGCACTTGGCCGTACCCAGCACGACAGCGCTGCTCGAGACGCGCAGACACTGCTCCAGCGTGTTCATGATCGTGAATACCTCATCCGGTCCACCGGCTTTGTACTTTGCGACAATCTGCAAGATATTGCACTGCCCCCACTCGTTAAAGTCCGTAATGCGACCGAGCAAGTGCATCACAATAGGCTGATTGATCGCAATGCCGCCTTCGTCCGCCATGATCTCGTTCAGCGCAACTAAACAGTTGGAAACCACTTGCGGGTCACGATCGCGGATCATGTTGTACAGCGTGTCGATCATGTCACTCTCCTTAATCAGCTCCGGATTCAGCGAGTAGACCTTCAAGATGCCAATGACACCCGTCTTTCGGACATACGCGCTCGTGTCCGTGAGCGATGCCTGCAACGGATCGTGGATGTACTCAAGGATGGAATCCAGCCGGAGCGAGCACAGCGACCGCAACGCGAGGCCGCGCACCATTGGATCTTCATTGCGACAGTCATTCAGAAGCGTGTTGATGCACATAATGGCAAGCTCCGAGTTCTTCTGCGCGTAGTTTGTGAGGTAGAGATACACCATTTTCTTGGAAATGAGGTCCTTTGTGTCGACACAGAGCACCATCTCACTGAAGAGACGCGAGACGTCAATGCCCAGCGTCATGTAGGCGATGACCTTCTTGATGATCTCGCGCTTGCGCTTCACATCCTTCTCGACCGTCACCTCCCGCAGGAGCTAGTTGACACACCAAACGTAGGTTTTATTAATTTAGACAGTCGCTGTTCATAATTTACGTGATTTACAAAATTTGAGATCCCCGGTACATACATTCTTGAGCTCGTTCACTTCGCCCTTCTTTTTGTCAGTAAAGTAGTTTGGATTGCCACTGGTACCAGGTCGCTGAGCACGGGGAGCTCCTCCTGGAGGAGGCGGCATGCCACTGGAAGGCAGTCCTAGAGACGGGTACGACGGGTTCATGCTGGTCGTACAGTGGGAGAACAGCGTCGCCTTTGCAGCACGATCCTACGTGGCGTAATATCGATGTGGTGCACGCTATTTGCAATCAGCGTGGCGTTGAATGCACAAAACCCCTTCGCGTGACATCCCTCCTCTGACAGCTTTTTGATCGGCGGATATTTGTTTAATGCTTTTCTTAAAAACATGTTACGATAGTTGGAGAGTTGCAGATTTTTTAATAAAAGGTACGCGGCTTCAGGCGGCGATTACAGCTACTTTACATGACGTGCTGCACTACGTCTTCTTTATAACTTGGCCGAACCACGTCTGGCTCTTCTCACGCTCTTCATGAGTAATCTTCATGGCGAAAAGAAGACGCGGCCGCTCGTCTATCGCCAATCTTACGTGGGTACATGAGCTAGTGCGTAGCGCATGCCTTTGGCTGGTACGATGTACAACATGTCAAGTAAACGACTATTGCGATCAGTATGTCATGCTGAATACAGAGATTGTCCCTTGACTGACTACACCAACGTACGGTGATAAATGTGTAGATCGGATGTGTTGCACGTACACTGTAACCGACCCGTGACGCAATAAAGATTGCCGAGGCGCCAGCCAAGATGACACGACCTTCCACGAAGCCGATTATAGGGCAGCAGGAGACGAGCTTGTTATAGTATGCTTTGCTGACCGTCTAGTTATCGAGATAGACGGTAGCTTTATTGCGTTTGTATTGATCCCATGCTTACCACCCGAGAACAGTGCGTCATGGAGATTACCATCCGTGCCTCTCCCACTCTATCTCTCGGTGCAGCTACAGAGTGGCACGTCGCGTGGCGTGAGCATGAAAACTACGTTTGCGTGAGAGTCACGATGTCACAACGAACGACAGTGAAGGTGTCCACGAAATGAGAGCATCATGAATGAGCTAGTGATCATTGTGGACGAACCTCCATTAGGCATTGCAAGCAAGGACAGGTGAGCCAACCTCAGCTTAAGCTTAACAAATGTGACGCACCCATCGCCTCGTAAAGGTTAGACAACCATATCCTACGCTTTCACCAACGCTATGTTCGGCTCGTGCGTTCTGACGTTGTAGACATCTTCCTTGCGAGACCGAAATTTGTATCATTACGTGCGTCTTGACAAAAATGAAAAGCTGTGCGAAAGACCTGTAGCAGTTCCGTACAAGCCGTGACCTTGTAATTGCAAACTGCAAAGGAGCTAATTTCATTGCTGTCCAGTGACTGTGCAGTCATCGTTTTTTACCGCTCTCTAACTTTTGCTCGAGCTCAGATTGACACAGTCTATAGTAACGTGGGAAATCTACGCGCTGATCAACGACTATTCATCGGTCGAAATGTGTCAAGAATGCAAGGTGCCGTATCTTTGCGTACCGTCAATTGGGCCGTAGACGCCTGATGTGAAAAAACTTGCACCACGATGTCGTTGCTGTGTTGACAAGCTCGGCGGTCTTATCTGTTTAAAGTACTCGGCAGCTAATGGTGTGAAGCTGTACGGCGTATATTCTATAATCTCCAATGCAGCATATTTTCACGACCTAGGAAGAGCTTCCGTTGTTGAATAGTATGCAGTGCAACTCGTGCATCAATACTATCGGCGTTCTTTGAGGCGCTGGTAAAATCTGAGCGATGTCATGACTACGGTCGATGCATTTCGATACGTTTGAGTTGCTATTTGCCTGCATCGGCTTGTATCACAGCAAATGCATTGCAGGCTTTTCAATGTACCTGCGGCCAGAATTAGACATTACTACACCAGTTACTCCAAAGCATTTTATTCATACCCAGGTTATGGCCAAGCAAGCGATCGGCGTCAGAGGACTTCCGGTACAACGCAAATGGGTTCGTGCGGCCTAAACATCCTCGGAAAAAGTCAAATAACCACTTTTTTAGAAAGAAATGGAAAAGCTCCAGCGCTCATATTTTAGTCACTTAGCGTTACTTCATTCCGTAATCGGGATTTGAACAACTTTGACCACACTATACACGCTCTCTATTTTGAGTGGATAACGAGATCCAAGTATACCAGACGTCCGGATATGGCAACTGTGCTACCAACACTGCTGAAAGCGCTGCGGCAGGCCTCGACGCCTTCCGAGATCTCCACTGCCGTCGATAAGGCTATTGACCGTCTCATATCCACCTCATCGCTTGTAGAATCGCAAAAGCTGGTCTCGGGTGCGTGCGCTGTGCTTGTGCTACAACATGTATTCTTCCTCTAATGATAGCGTATACTGCGTGTATACCGTTCGTCTGCTCTAGGTCTCCGACAACACCGGTTGACTGGAAATTTGTATGAAAAACTACAACAAGCTGCTGCTATCTGTACGGAACCCTTGAGCAAGGCGGAGTACTTGGGGATGATGTTACTTCAGGAGAGTGTCGACCTGCTCGAAACACTGCCAGTGTCTACCCAGCGTAGTGATTTACTTAGGGTATACAATGCAAACCATGGCGTGCTATCCGGATACTTGGCAGCGCTAACAGCTGAGAACATGTCGTGTCTGACCACCAAGCTGGACACCCAGAAAGCTAGACAGACACTTGAGGTCATATCGCCTGTCCTGAAAAGTGTCCTAATGGATACTTTGCAGACGTCAGACGGACACAAAGCTGCAGTGCTGAACGCCATGGCTCGCGTTGCTTGGAAATCGGAGAATGCCGACCATGAAATTGTGCAGCCATCTGTGGTCCATATCCTGGTGCAGGCATTGGAGCTCATTCCGTACACGCAGCTGTCACGACCGACCTACGGAATTCATGTAACGCTGCTGGTTGACCTGCTGAGTGCTCAAGCAGCTGGTGGTACGAAACCTGTGGCAATAGCCGCAAGAACGGCGCGCTTCGTGCTACAGTCAACGCAGCTTTTGATCAGGAGGGACGTCGGTGTAGTGACTCTACTGCAATCTCTAGAGCAGCTGGCAAGAGCAGTGCCTGAGGCATTCTGGTGCTCTGGTTTTCTGATGTCGGCTGCGTACTTTCTTGTGGAGTCGTGTGAAACGTCGCTGGAGCAGCAACTGATGCTGCGCGTGCTACGGCAGGCACTCACATATGGACGCGAGGTAGTTGCTGGCAGCCGCACCGTTTACGTTGAAATCCTTGTGCTGCCCTTGTCATCGATGATTTCGGTGCATGGTGCTGCTGTGTCCGAACTGCTTCAAATGATGATGGAGATCAAGTCGATGAGCACATATACTTGCGAAGACGGGTTTGAAAACGATGTCCATCTTACGGAGACAGCGACTCATGCTCGTTCAGCCATCCAAATAGTTGGTGACGAAGAGTCATGTCAACGTTGGTTGAACTCGTTGTTTGTGTCGAGTGGCGCTGTATCTACCAGCAACGCGGCGGACAAATGGATAGCACTGCTGCTGATGGCGCTGATGTCTGATGAACGAACTGCTTTTCGCGATAATGCCACTAGGTGTCTAGAGCGTCAAGTGAACAGTAGTCCAAAGTTCTGGGGTGCCGTCACTACAAAATCACTGGTGCCAAGTTTAGTGTTTCTAGTTTCTCAGCGACCACCTGGAAAGGCCAAGAAGGCATCGGCACGTGGCTTTGCAGAGTGGATGATGTCGTGTTTGTATTGTCTAGCAGCGCTTGCAGCTACAACGACCGATACTATGCGTGTTGTGCTTCGTCTTATTGACAGCATGAATAACACGGCAAAAATGAGGCCGATCGCACTTAGATGTATGTTTGAAGTGTGGCGAAATGAGTCTCGTGTATTTCCTCGATTGGAAACGATGCTACTTGAACCAACTTCTCCAGTCGATGATGTCGGTCGCCATATTGTAAGGATGGCTACGATCAAAGCGTTGTGTGAGAAAGATCCAGAGCTTGGAGTGCAGTTTATCGCACCTGTTCAGGCATTTCTTGAAGATCAGCTGAAGTCGGTAGTTTCAATGGCTATGGACGCCATTGCTGCGTTGTGCGGCGGAGACTGTTTGGACTTCTACGTCGCGTTCAAGATCATTGCCCAGAAGATACGCAAGAAAAAAGTGACCTGCGCAGAGGAACCACTTTTCCAGGAGCGCTTGTGTCACTTTTACACACTTGGTGGTGCTGACAGCACTACAAATAGAAAAGACGCCATGAAGCTACTCAACCAGACTTGGAAGTTCACACTCAGTGAATATGCTAGCGTTCGAAAGTTCGCTTATCGTGCGCTATGTCGCTATCCTCTGAACTTATCAGGACTTTGCGTGATTATTGATGAAAGTGCGGGATACGATGGAGATGAAGTGTCGAAGGAAGAAGTTGTCGAGCGATTAGATGACTTATTGGTACATCTTCAAACCGAGAATGACCCAGATGTCCGCGTTGAGGTCGAGAAACTGGCTGCAGAAGTGATAAGACACGAAAGCACACAGCTTGCTGCAATCGCTGGACGTGGACAGCGTATAGTGTCTGCAGTGTCGGGGGGGCATCGTCAACAGCAATCAGCCCAACGATTGAAGTCGTTTGCAACTGTTTCCGGTGCGGCTACCAAAGAGTTGAAAGCGCTGCTTCCGACACGAGTGGAGGTAGAAAGCATGTTTGCTGCGAACTCTACTACCACTGACTGGAGTGGTTATTTGTTGGCTTTTCAGCCCAAGGCGTTGATCGACACAAAGAATGTCTCTCGCAAAGACAAGCTTGTGCGCCTTGCAACGCAAAATGTGATCGAGTTGGAACAAACGGTCAAGCTTGTGCTTCAGAATATGGAACTTCCTTGGGTCTCGGTAAGCATGTTGCCAGATTGTGATAGTAGGTACAAGGTGTTCTTACTGATTCAAGCCTTGATGGAAGGATGGCGAGGGTTTATGGTGACGTTCATATGCTCCCTTGACGAGTTGGCAAAGCTCAAGACTCCTACAAGTGTAGATGACGCCGATGTTGCGTTCCGTGTGTTCTCAGAAGGCATCACTAGCTTATTTGACTTGCTTCTAAAATGTACTTCTAACAAGGAAGGAGGCGCAGTTGCAGCTGGTGCGTTGGCAGGAGAATTATGTGGGTCAAGGCATTGGCAAAATCCTCAGTTGCGGCTAATGCACGAAACAACAGTCAAGGAGTTGTCGCATCGACTGGCGTTGTCGATCGAGCAGACTCGTGTACTCTCAACTGATACGAGTGATACTAGCTTTTCGTGTATTGGCGCTTCTATTGCTGTGCAGCTCTCACTTGACCATCGAAGTATCGATGCAGTGGATAGCTGCAGCAACTATTGCATCCAGCTGGACAAGATCGAAAGGATGTTTACCAGGCTTTATCAAACGAAGTCGGATGACCTGTTGGGTTGCTGTGCTCTACTGGGCCTAAGCCGCATTGCTACGCTTTATACAAGTGGCGATAAAACTGAGGCGTTTGAGGTGACGCAGTGGAGACATGAACAGGTCAAGCCAATTGCTGAACTTATTTTCGACTCGTTTCTTAATTCTGATGATGCCAAGCGGCCGAACAAATCTTCAACGGGCCATGGCGACTCAGTTTTTCCTCTGTACGGAATGACAGAAGCACGCATTCCTCTTGATATAATTGCATCTGGCTTCAAGCAGCCTTCGTCATCCAGTAGCATTTTATTGCGATGGGCATCATTGATGGGCTTAGCGCGGCTATCCGATGGCTTCTTGAGAATTAAACGTGTAGACTGGCTGACGAATCTGCAAAGAGTTCTTTTAGCAGTATGGGAAGAAAGAGAGTCAGCAAATACAGTAGCTGTGGCATTGGGGCCCGTGCTGCTGCAGAGCGTGCGTTTTAACTTGCTACCCTCATCAAGCTTGGAAACGTTCGTGGCAACTTGCAACCGGCGAGCTGCTGAAGCCAGTGTGGGCAACGCCGACTGCGGCTTTCTGATGATGGCAGTAGCCAGCGTGCTGTGTCAAATACATAATTATGGAGGCTCTTCTGACAAGACTCAAAACCAAATCGAGTCAGCCGTCAAGCATATCGAAAATGCTCTTGCGCATGACGGTGAGCCTGGTCGTGTAGGGCACACGATGATGCTATCTGGTATCGCCAACTTCTTCCACCTCACTTTTGGTATATCCAGGTCATCCGTCGCGTCAACTTTGAATGTCGGTGCCAACGTGGAGCTGACACTTGATTTTGACGCAACTAAGACGTTAGTGCAGCTTGTTCGACAATCTACGAGGACTGAAGGGCACTGCACTTTTGCAAAAACAATGCTTGGTGCGATTGCTCGTGCAGCTGATAGTTTTTATGTCTCCCCGAAAAAGAAATCGTTTGACGTAGAGATTCGCACTCTTCCGTCAAGCTGTTTGCTGGTAAGAACGCTCAAGTGGCTGCAGCGAGTGAATCATTCGGAAAATGACTTCTCCTTCCGTGACGGTCCAACAACCGAGCTAATCTCACAAACTCGCCAAGCGGTATCGTTAATTTGCTGTCTAACTTCAGTAGGAGCTGTACTTCCGCCGTTCGGCTACGGTATGTTCTTGCACCGGATAATGCTGCGGCTGTGCTCTGTCGATACAAGCGTAGCCTGTGTTCGATTTGCAGCTACTCAAAGTAGCTGTGATGAACTCTTGGCTAGTGAGCTGCTATCCGGTGACTGGTTTGGAAATGCCAGCGCGGCCCTTCAGGCTGAACTGATGGCTTGGCTTTCGACAGCAGCTGCCCGTGTTCCAACTGATGTGCTGAAGACATTGTTGGTCACTACGTTTGACATCCTCAAGGAAATTTGGCGTCGTGATACATCAAGTAGCCGCAGCGCTCTTCTCTTTGACAGCTGGACCTCTATGCTACGCAATGCACTAGACTCTAGTGCTCACCGTATTTCTGACGATTCCCTGGCGGTTGTGAACAACTTTGTACTCGAAAAGGTGGTCGTGGAGCTTCCTTTTGACGTGCATGCCTCTCGTCAGGTGGAGCAATTTGCAACCCGTGTACTTTCGAAGTTGGACTACGGCGAGCGTAGCGTAGTTGATGCCATCCTGAAGCTAGACGTAATGAATATGTCGACGTGGAGTTGGTGGAGGAGCGGCGTTTTTGTCACCGAGCTTGCAAAGCTCGATGTTTTTGCCCTCACCAAGCTGGAGGCATCCCTGATTTTCCAATGGATTCTCCGTCATGACTTTGTTGAATGGACTGATGAGTATTACATCGATACATACTTGTTGCCGCTCACCGCTCGGATTGGCGCTCTTGTTGCTCAGCACACGAGACCTGACGATAACGTGTCTTCGCTTCTGGACGTGATTGACACCTTTAGCCGAATTTCGTCCTCACTCGATGTTTCGAATCGATCACACATCTCCAAACGTCGAGCACTGTTTGCTTTTTTGGCGTGTGTTTTGTCCTGGAATTCGGCGTTGAGCCATGAGAAGTACCTACTCGAAACCTCACGAACTGACATTGTCAGCACGAGTTCAGCGGTTGCTTTACTACCTTTCGGGCTCGCAGCGTGCGCCTGCAGCGCGAAAAAGATCTCGACTATCGGTGAGAGATTACTTACGTTATTGCGTCAGCTGGCTCGCACAGATACGATTGAAGTAGCGGAATATACCGGTGTGTTGCTTATTTGTAGCCGGCAGATGTATGTGGCAGCGGACAGATGGCACATCCCGTGCACGATGTCTAGTGAGATCAAAGAATTATGGAGTCTCAGTGATACAAGCTGAAAGGCAAAGTACCCATGCTCGATTATTGCGTAGTCCTGACTCCTCTACGTCAGTCAAGCCTGGACTTTATTTTCTGAGTTCACGAATACTTTCTCAATCAAAGTGGAATCAGGGGTGGAAGAAATGAAGAGCCGTAGGTGCTGAGTGAGCAGTTTACAATGTTTACAGGAGCAATAAGCCGGAGCTTAAAGTGGGATCGTTGATCATGTTTTCGGGGAGAAGGTTCCCATTCTACGTATCATGATTCATGATACAATCTGACGGACAGTATTTAACGTTTGAATCGACGAATTCTTCACTCGTATCATTATCTACTGCACACTGCGTACTTACCGCGAGTGCCACAGCTACATGAACATAGTTGGAAGACGGACTCGACCATGAAGGTTGAAGCTAAAGCCTATATGTGCGATGATCTAGAGCTAGCTTTCTGATCCTATTGCGAAAATAGATCAGATGATCCAGGGCCTATCGGAGTATCAATCTGACTTGAAAGCAACAAGCAGTAAAGCCTGACCTGTTGTGATCACTGAAGACGGTGGCTGCGATCGTTTTGGAGCGATTGCACAAAAGGAGTAATTCCGACCACTCAAGTATCAACACATGTCCCGTCTTGAATGGCTCTGCAAAACAATGGCATCGGTCGAGATGCTCGCGGGCCCAGATGTCTATTTCTACACCGTCTAAGGTGAGGAGTTTTTTTGGTGTGAAGGACCTCGACAGAGATGTAAGAACGGAGCTTGTTGAACAAGGTGAAGCTGATTGTCATTTGCAACTGCGTAGCATAAAGTGATTCCGAAGCAATTCACACACAAAGGGGGCTTTGCTATGGCTAGGCAGTTATAGTGCGCAATGTCGACAACACCGGATGGGCAGAAAATACAGGATTGTTGAACCTGTACTACGAGTATGTACCTGCGATTGGTGCAACAATCGGAGCACCCCGTTCTTTAAAGTGCGACTAACATGTGTATGCCAAATACAAATGCTGCCTAACGAGATGCATGAGAGTTGATTTTCTAGAGTCTATTCATGGTTTGAAAGATCTTCTACTATCGCCAAGATCATGAACGATAGTGTTTCACCTATTTTTTGCACATGCACTAAACTCTCATTTTGTAGAGTAGTAGTTTGGGTGCCAAGGCATCAAGCATACATCTCTAGGGTGTCTCCGGCAGTGAGTATAACTTAACTTCATGTCCAATCAAAAACTGTTAATCAGTTATACTCACAAAAGTGCACCACAGGAACGAAATGACTCAGGGGACAAGTTAGAAAAAGCTATTGCTTCGCTATCCCGTCTGTGTAACGGGGTGAATCGTTACGTAACAATTTATAAGAAATTGTTAATAGAATATAACTGTAAGAGTTATATTCTCAGAATATTGTCATAAGGACAAATATACTGTAGCACTTACGAGTAGTTCCTAATTGGTTGATATGGGCCATTATATCAACCAACGAAGACGCGCCACGAGAGACGCACGCAATGAGTGGTGAGCAGATATTTGATATACACATTTGTATTTAGACATAATTAGATGAGGATAAACAGTGATTTATTAACAGACATTGACTATTATAAATACAGTTCTACTTTTTACTTAAACTATGTACTCGCTTCTTCTTACCGTCTTCCTCTGCACGTACGAGTGTACGTGAAGTTTTAAGGCACCGCCTTATTCTGTCATCAGAATAAATAGCTTGTACTGTCACTAGTACAAGCTTCAGGGTGCCCCGTTACAGTCTGCGTTCTGTATTTCTGCAACATCCGGTTTATTTTTTTTTGGCTACATGTCATTAGCTATAGTTTCAAGATCAATCAGGCCATTGGCGAAGAATTGTTGCATGTCAATGGCTGCAGTTGATAAAGAAAGATGTCGATTTGAAGTCGGCAACGAGGTTTTAAATGACACTAGCAACTATGTATTTGAACTTTACCAGGGACAAAAATCACGCAAACACAACTTTACTAGTCACGTTCAACTGAAAATAGATTGATCTTGTATGTAATGCCGACTGCTATGTTTTCTTTGCGTATAATTTTGAGTGGAAGTTATACCGTTCTCAAATTAGTCCACACCTAGTTCAGTTATACTCACTGCTGGATACGCTCTTAGAGTGCGATGCTTGGTTTCGTTTCAATGCCAAAGTTCAAAGTATCATTTACGAGCTGCTGTAATATCGTAACCTGTCGAAAGACGCCATCCAAATAAGCTTGGTGGCAGATAGGCAGCTGCCCGTTGGCTTATCTTTGTTCCCATCACAAAGTCCCACCAACGGACGTCGTTACAGGGTTGCGTCCATAAATGTCTCGAGAAGCGTAATCGGACGTCAGAGTGGTCAATGACAGACGCACGACCACACAATAGTACAGCAGTTAATTGTATTCAGGTATTGTTCTTAAACATGCATCAGAGAAGCGCTTAACTGCCGGTGAACGGATTGCATACACTTACTTCAAGCAGACGGCACCTTGTATAGCATTCTTCATCAAAAGTAAGAAAAGGTCCATACTGCAACGTTTTTAGTGATCAGGACGATCGATCATGATTTGCTGGATCATAGATAGCAGAGAAAGCACTGATACAACGTCAAAAGAAAATAGGTTAACTTGTCCAAAAAAAGGTACAATTTAGACTGACATGTAATGTGCTCTCGCACGCACATGAGAACTTTGGCTACTTAGGTGGGACATTGCGCTGGGCCATTGCGCTAGATTTGAAGATAGAAGTATCTCTTTGCCAACTTCTACTCTCCTTCAACTATGCAGCCAGCTTTAAATATTATAGACGGGCGCTTAAAGCTGCCACGCACTACCTCGATGCACATCATCAGGAACTTGTAAGAAAGCGTTTTGACCGTCTTCTCTCACGGCGAGGTTCGGGTGGGCGTCTTACGACTGCCTCACCGATAGATGAACGTTATTTCGAGTGGCTTGGACGCTGTTTCCCTTCTTCCGGTACACTTGCAAGGGTTAGGCTGCAAATATAAGACTGACGCGTGTAATCAATTACACAGAAATCGAAATGGCTATCGGCTATAAGGCTATATATTAGACGCACGAGTTGATAGGGCGCAGTCTCTACAGCGCACTTAAACCTAATATAAGCACTTTAATGACATGCCTCAATAAAAAAACACCTAGTTACGTCAAGTAAATGATCTCATTCGTATGTGTGACACAAACCTTGTGGTACATACGCTATTAATATACCTCAACCACATTAAATGTCTAAGTTCATACTGAACTTAGGTGCTTTCTCTGAATCTTTCATGTGTTTACACGGAGACTTAGGTACTTTCTTTGAATCTTCCATGTGTTTACACGGAAAGTCTCGTGTAACGGTTTGACACTGTTGCAATAAAGAAGATGCTATTATCCATACACACCTCTCCGAAGTCACGTCTTCGGTAACGGATCCGTGGTTTGTCCTAACAGAGCGAAAATCTTTTAGACGCGATCCCGGGAGTGTCTTTGTACAAACGTCCGACAGATCGTTCGCTGTATAACTTTCTAGAGATCCACGGACTTCTTGACAACTTGATCGCGCACCTTGTATTAGCGGAGCCCGAAGTGTCAAATACGTGGACTAACAGTAGGATAAGCTGTCACTACAAAGTCTGCTTCGTAGTCGTTTCAAGCGTAAAATATACTCTCAGTTCAGGACACTTAAGTGCGCGAATTCTTTGGACTTTGTCCTTCCTTTCAGACTTCTCAATCCGCAGCATACTCAGCCTGGGTAGTGGACTGTGAAATGATTGATGTCTTAACGCCCACGAAATTGCTATTTCTGCTTTATGAAGTAGACAGTAATAGTCTTTCATGAGTTAGGATCGTTACCCAATCCGGGTCACAGTAACCATCAAAATACAATGTCTTCTTGTCTCCCTCGTTCGTTCTGATGGAGTACACAATGCCCTGACTTTTGTTTCCAAAGAGGTAGCGGAGGTAATTGTTTTGCTGCACCAATGTGCTGTTGAGTAGGAGCTTGTACATAATGATCTCTTTTGTCCAGCAACGCAGACAGCGTCTGGTCTGCTACAAGCAGCGAGACACATTAAGGAGCCAACACATTCCCGGTAGAAAAATCTCTTTCAAAGATTGGTTTCCGCTTGCGATAGTTGTCTTCATCACAAAAGTTTACAATGTAAATCGATTGTTGATTTTCATAGAAATCATGCTGTTGTGAGCTTCCGCAAAATTTGTGTTTTGCCAAAATAGCATTGCAGTATTGAGATTGGTGAATAATATCGAAGTATTGTCTCGCTCGACCTCAACACCCAAGTCCTATTTCATCAACTAATTGATTCTCTGAGCTGTAGCTATTCTATCTTTTGCGAACAACTCGTGCTTTTGTGTTTCTTTTTGTCTCCCAAAAACTTCATCATCGACTTATCTCAGCACAAACGCGAACTCGCCATTTCGGTTGTACACATAAAAATTATTCGTGCTATTGCGATCAAAACATTTTCCTAGCACTTTGTAATATTTATAATTCCATTCCCGGCCTGATTGCTTTAGTCTGTACAGCGACTTGATGACCACGATAACATATCCTTCTTTTTAACAAGGGGTACCCCTTAAGTCCATTCAAGTCCCTTTTGATTGCTAAATAGCATCCAAGTACGCAGTATTGGCGTCTCCTGTATATATCGTTCACCTAAGCCACACACACATTGCAACGAAAATCCTAGATGTAACTATTCTTGCCACTGAAGATAAGGTGTCTTGGTGATCGAATCTGCGACACGGCTTGTCAACATGTGCAATATGCACACACGGAATTAACCAACATTGTCGACGTAATTTAATTTCGAATTGAACACCCAAATTGCATTTTTAGGTTGTCCATAGGATAAATCTGACCTTGGTATCGGGTCCAGCACTTGCTTGTCTATAAGTTCCTTGTTAATTACTTTGCCAGTGACATCGGCAAAGTATCTAGAGTATCTTAATCTCAATGCAATTTTGTAATTTCTAGGAATAGTGACATTACACACGCGAATCCCATCCGAACCACTCCTGTCTTCACAAAATGACTAAGAAATGAGTAAACATACTAGTCGTCAACTTACGTTGTTTATACTCTTTCATGTGGTCCTCGGAGGACTGGTCTGCGCTGAGTTTTTTATTTTGCTCGTTACACATCAATCTCTGAGCATTGCGCTCTCGGGTGCATCAAACTTCGACGTCTCGGGGTCGATGGTCGAATGGCGTGATTTTATCGACAGCTCCTGGATTAGGGCCAGTACTATCTGCTGTTAACTACCAGGTTTGTTATCCATAATAATGGATTCACGTTCATCGCTTGGGTTTGATAAGCTATCGTATATTCCCGTATCACCAGTACCGTCTGCAGCATCTTCACTAATATATTTTACGTCTGATACGTGACTGCTACATTAACACATGGTTTCGTAGACCACATCATAGCATGTTGTATCTTCCTAAGAATTGTATATAGTATCCTGAATATTTTTCGTAACTTGATTTCTTGCGTATTAAAGGCATATAGCTGTTGTTTTCACAATATTGTGATCGCTTCGGGTACCATTGTCGACAATCAGTGGTCCGTTCCTCCACCGTGAAATCTGTCATTCTGATCTCTTGCTGTAATCTTATCGCCAATCTCGTTGTCTTTTTATACCCATAGTCTTCATTGCAACTAACTATATCCTTTCTATGACCTCGTAGGAAACGAATTCGGCAATTCGTAACTCGTATCTTACGCTTGGTACTTATCCGAAAATATGTAATTGAAACAAAAGGTATGTATGATGAATATATGAATTGACCTGACTGTCAATTTGTTAAATATATTTTCACCTTTGCAGAAGCACACGATTCTTGACGTATACAACATCATCCAGTGATTTCACCCGAAACGATTTGGAGAATCCTGCCTCAATCATCACTGTCTTTGCCATGTCAACAATACTGTGATGCGTGCGTTCCACAAGGTTAGACCAAGGCGCCAGGGACCAAATTTTGTACAAACTGCCCCGTGTCCAATATTAACCATCGTTTAATTTTTTTTACAAAATTTAAACCAGCGATTAGTCAGCACTTGTCGCACGTAAATAAGTGTAGCACGATTTCTTTGATACCCTTTCAAAAGTTATTATATCGCCTCCGATATTGCCGCTTCACCTACGCAATAAACTATTTGAAATGAGCAATTACTTCACTCTCATCATTCTTTCATAAGTGGTATGCTTTCAAATTGCGTAAAAATCTATCCATAAAACGCTGCGTACTGTGACCCGTTGCATGATCATGGAATCAGCAGATCCGCAAATATCATGTCGTTGACCTTCTCAATACCTCGACCAAACGTATTTCTTATTTTTTTAATCGCTGCTTGCCAATATAGGAATGTTTTTAGTCTATTTTGCCCCTCGTTTAGCATGACGCCTTTGTCGTGTTTCTATCCACCATCAAACGTACGTACCCGTAACATCTGTGGTATGAGCATTCGTGCCAGAAGGCCTCATCATTCACAACAAAATGAGCAAAATTACGTTGCTTGGTTTGTTGATGTTGCGCCCCTGAACAGGTACATTTCATGTTGTTAGGGTGATGATTTATGAGATAAATAATCAAGGAGATCCATGGTAGTTTCAGAGGATTGCCATGGAACAGAGTTACAAAAAGTATTAGAGATACCTTATGGTAGTGAACTAAGGACCTCTATTACATTTACAGCCGCAGCTCGGCGTGCTGCATTAAGACCAGATAACTCCCTCACGTCGCACAAAAAGCACACGATGAATGCCAAGTGCGCCGAATTCCTCCTGGAAAGGATAAATTATTTTCACTTGAACTTGATATGAGGATGACCTTGCCAGGAAAGGTATGCTGGCGCACGTGGAGGTGGTCACGAAAGAAAGGGAGACAACTGAAGCTTGGCTAGAAAACGACGTGAGGGCTCTTGACATTATCGCGCAGGGTGTGGAGCTACAACACCCGACAAAGAAACTTTCATCTACGCGTGCGATTCAAGCGTGGTTAATGCTTAGCGAGTTCTACAATCGAACTACACTACACAATTGGGCCACGATGCCACGCCGCTTCCACGAGTTCAAGATGGATGCTATAATGGCCATGGCAAAGCATTTGGACGCCTTCGATCAGCTCGTTGTCGGTCTTTAGACACTTGAAGAGCATATCGACGAGGGACGGCAGCTGTTAGTGCAACTGAGCAGCCTTCAAGTCGAATACGAGCTGATTTCATCTATCTTTGGAGAACGTCAAGGACATCACGCTCATCGAGCTGAAAGAGAAGCTGTTGAAGTAGTGTGAACATTTGGCGAGAAAGGATACGACTCCAGAATGAGCGTTCATTGTCAACACTGGAAGATTCAAGGGTAATAAGGAGAATGGTCGCAAGTGGAGCGGTCAGAAGAAAAATTCTAGTATTTTTCGAGGCAAGTGCTTTAGGTGCAACAAAGTTGGGCACGTGAAGCGGGACTGCCAAGAACGGACAACAGATAGCGATGACGATGCGGTATTTGCTGTACGCACAATGCGTGTAAACGGATGAATTATCGACAGCCGAGCGACCATGCACAGTACCCTGCACCGTTCTGATCTTTCGATTATGATAACATGAATGATGTAGCTGTAACAATCGCTGACGGAAAGAAGCTGCATGTCACTAGCCGTGGTACGGTACGCTTGATTGGACTGGACGGTAAACGGGTTTAGATGGTTGCAGTTCTTCACATCCCATGCCCCGATTGGCGTCTGTTGTCAGTGGGAAAGCTCGCGAATCGTAGCCTGGACGTGGAGTTTTTGCGTTCCCCATGTGTTATACAGGGCACGGCTAGCGCAATTGCAAAGAACAAGAAGGTGGGAAAGGCGTACATGTTAGATTGTAAACAAGAAGAAGATCGATTCGTTCAGTACGCTCAGGCTGGCAGAAAGTGAAGGCTATGGCACGTTCGCATGGGGCATCCCAACCAAGACGACCTGACTAAGACGCGTCATGCTACATACGGTATTCCGGCTATCGGTCAACCGACCCAGTCTTTATGTGGCGGATGCATGACAGGGAAGAAGACAAGGACTACATTTCCGCATTTTTTTCGACTCTAAAACGTAGCGCGTTCTTGAGCTCGTCCACACGGATGTGATGGGCCACATGAAGTATCCATCTAAAGGCGGTTGTAACGGGGCACCCTGAAGCTTGTACTGGTGACAGTACAAGCTACTTATTCTGATAACAGAATAAGGCGGTGCCTCGTAACTTCACGTACACTCGTACGTGCAGAGGAAGAAGGTAAGAAGAAGCGAGTACTCGGTTAGAGTAAAAAGTAGAACTGTATTTATAATAGTCAATGTCTGTTAATAAATCACTGTTTATCTTCATCTAACTATGTCTAAATACAAATGTGTAAATCAGTTATCTGCTCACCACTCATTGCGTGCGTCTGTCGTGGCGCGTCTTCGTTGGCTGATATAATGGCCTATATCAACCAATTAGGAACTACTTGGAAGTGCTACAGAATATTGTCCTTATGACAATATTCTGAGAATATAACTCTTATAGTTATATTCTATTAACAATTTCTTATAAATTGTTATGTAACGATTCACCCCGTTACATCACCCCCCTTAACCATCAGTCACTTTAGTGACTGATTGACTAAATGGATACTCGTCCCAAATCATTTGGGACGGGGTTTGCACTTGTTGGTCCGCGTCCACTTTCCAACATCTCATCGCATGGTAAACAAGCCCATGCGATGCGCGAGCAAGGCCGCCGAGAGCGCGTCTGCACGTCTCTGTGCGGACGCCGAAGCAGAAACTACAGCAACTGATGTCCCATCGGTTGCTGAATCGACTCAGCCTGTATCACCTGGTGATGCAGGCGCTGGTCATGAAGACACTCGTGTCTTCACAGAGTACGAGCTCGGTGTCTCGTACTCTCCTGATACGGATGACGGATCCGTATCGACGGCAATTGAATCCAAGCCGCCTGCCAAGCGTGGCATGGACGATGCTTTGCGTCGCAGCATCTTTGGTTCATCTGATGAGTCAGATGAACCATCGCCGAAGCGAAGGCGCTCGAGGTCGCGAGACTCGGGCGCTAATAGTGGTGTCGTTTCTCCAATGGACACCACTTCACAGCGAGGTGCCAGTACTTCTGTCGGCACGTCGCAGGAAGAGCGGGACCGCAATGTGTTGCGTCTCGCTCCAGAAAAGAAGGCATGGATGCCTCCTAAATCTGTCATGGATCACTTGTCGGCGACGACGAGTGATCGTTATCGAACACGATTGTTCGATTCGTCAAGGATCCATCACCTTGACCCCAGCGCGAAAGACTATCGCGCTGAACATGAGTTCTTCATCGATGCTTTCTTCAGACATCGATGGTACAGTGGGAATCACAAACGTGATGGTCCCTCACTACTTCAGGCGTGGAACGCCTACATCCATAATCTCGAGGATGTAGGTCGTGACGCTTGGAACGACAAACTTATCAAAGCTCGTGATAAGTTTGAAAAGCGAACCCCGACAGGTGCACGCTATAAGCTGCATCGTCTGTCAAGGGAGAAAGGATTACCCTGCCTCTCTTGGGGAGACTCGTGCCCATGTTGTGTGAACAACTCTGCACGAGCACCTAAGGAGGCTTACCTCCTTACCAGCCCGTGGTGGCGCGTACGTGTCTCTACTGAGATGTACGAAGGGATTGACAACCTGAAATCCCTTTACGACCGTGCCGGGAAGACTTTCTCCGGCGGTCCTTCTGCGGCACAGGATGTGTCGCGTCGTACTGCTCGACCAGACCCAGTACGTCAACCATCAATTGGGAGCGGGGCTCCCAAGAATCCCAGGACGGGGGATAGCCGCGCCACCGGACGAGGTAACTCGTCCGACGTCCGTTCACGTCGCGGTGGTTCAACAGCTGCTCTACTAGATAGCGCTGGCCACCGCGAGAGTCCTCTAATGGAGGTGGAGGAGGAGGAAAGACGCTCTCCACACGATCATGTGGATCGGTGTGTTCCCGAGAGCTTCTTTGATCGCGTAACGAAAGGGTTACGCGACGATCTCGAGCATGAGCGGAATAGGCGTCTCCAGATGGTGGACACTGCCTCGAAGCATCGAGCTGAGTTTGCCTTTGCTCAGCTTGAGAACGAGAGATCTCTGACATCTCTTCGTGACGAGCTAAGGGTAGCTCGTGGGATTGTTGATCGGTCTCGGGCTGAGATAACTGCTCTTCAGACCCTTGTTGATGCCCACCATCGGGAGCACAAGGCTCTCTGCGAGATGCTTGAGCGCAAGGGCGTTCTTCATCGGAAGAAGCAGCGTACTGATGGTACGGCTTAAGCCGACCAACGTAAAACGTGGGATGCGTTCGCATCTTACGTGGTAACTCGATCGTGTATGCATTGCCTAGGCGGTGCAATACACGAAATGGGCCAATGTACTTGGGTAGTAGTTTACTGCTACCCAAGTTAGTCACTACATGTTTTGGTAGATTAACCGTAGACAGTAGGACTAAGTCACCTTTATTAAATAAAAGAGTGTTTGCCCTTCCATTCTTGTCAGCGTTTTGCTTTTGCTTATCCACCGCTTCGGCGATGGAGTCTTGCACAAAACGGACTACCGTTTCACGAGCCAGTATGAACTCATCTGATGACTCGTTAGCTTCAGTGTGCTGTGAGCGCACTGCAGCGACAACAACCTTTTCTTCAGTGAGGGCTTCCGCACTCTCACTGGGATCATTGTCTTCAGTGAGGGCTTCCGCACTCTCACTGGCATCATCTTCTTCGATATCGATGTTATCGATATCGGCATCAAACGCAATGACTTCTTCGTCAGAGCGTGATGAGCGTGAACCAAATCGGTTTTTGCTCGCGCGAGTCCCTCCCCCCTTAAACCAGAGTTACACTCTAGTAAGGTGGGTACACGCGGATGGCGCAAGCCATTCACGTAAAACGGTGTATGTGTCGTGGACGCATGCACCGAGTTGTTGATGGCAAACTCTACCATCGGCAAAAACTCACTCCAACTCTTAAAGGAGTGTACGTATCCTCGAAGTATCTCTTCAAGGACACGATTGGCACGTTCCGTCTGACCATCTGACTCTGGATGATCAGATGTTGACATCTTCAAGCGCGTTCCGAGTGATTTGAACACGGAACGCCAGAAATCAGCAGTGAATCGTGGATCTCTGTCTGATACGAGTTCACGGGGCAACCCATGAAGTCGGAAGATGGTGTCAATAAAGACACAAGCACAGCCACTTGCCGTGATTGTCTCTGGTACAGCCACAAGGTGTACCATTTTGCTGAATCTGTCAACAAATACGAGAATACCCGTATTCCCGCGTGCGTCTTTGGGTAACCCGAAGACGAAATCCATTGAGATGGATTCCCAGCACTCAGCCGGAACCGGTAGAGGCTGTAAAGGTGCACGCAGTGAAGGACTTGACTTCACTCGTTGGCAGACTTCGCATGCGCGAACATACTTTCGCACAAACTGATACTGGCGGGGCCAGTAAAAGTCTCGACTTACCGTGAGATATGTTTTCTCTCGGCCACGATGTCCTCCTATAGGAGCATCGTGATACTCGAACATGATCCGCAAACGCAGATCAGTATCATCTGGAATGACAACACGTGGTGTGTCACCAGAAACGGCTGTATAGTACAGTAAACCGTTACGAGTAGTGTATCGATCTGATGCAGATCGATACGCGAGGCGACAATCGTTTCAACGATTCTCGGGATGGTTGGGAGAGATGTGACAACAACTTCACTATCTCACCATCTTGGGCGTATGCCCGCCTCACATCATCATACAACGTTGTAGATGGAACTGAGGACGTCATAACCGCAACAGTGACTGTCTCACTGTTGGGTTTCGCGACTGTTTCAAAGTCGGGACGACGTGAGAGTGCATCAGCGACGACATTAAGTCGTCCTGGTTTGTACTCGACCGTAAAGTTGTATTCTGCAAAGAATGACAACCACCGCGCCATTCGTTGTGAAAGGTGCGGGCTGTTCACTGCCGTGCGTAAGGACGCATGGTCAGTGTAAACAACGAAGGGTCTATCTCCTAATAGATAGACTCTGAACTTCGCTAGTGCATACTTCATGGCAAGGAGTTCCTTGTCATGCACTGGATAGTTCCGCTCAGCTGGTTGCAGCTGACGCGACTGATAGCAGACGACGCGTTCAACGCCTTCAAGGTCGTACTGCATTAATGCACAGCCGATTGCGAAATCGCTGGCATCACAGACCACATGAAATGGCCTGTCCTGATCGGCTATTGCTAGGACTGGGGATTGTATCAAGCTCTGCTTGATACCCTCAAAGGGCGTTGACATTCAGCGTTCCATAACCACCTCTCGTTCTTTTTCAACAAACGAGAGAGGTGTACAGTCATCTCGGCGTAATTGCGTGAATACTTATGCAAATACGCCGCTAGCTAAGGAATTTTCGAAGACCTTTGACATCGACCGGCACGGGCCAGTCGGTGATCGCCTTGATCTTTTCGGGATCAGGACGTACACCGTTCTTACCAACGATGCACCCAAGAAGTGGTATTTCGCTTGCTGCAAATATACACTTCTTGAGGTTTACATACAATTGATGCTTTCGCATGATTGTAAGAACTTGTCGGACGTGGTACTTGTGAACCTCAACGTCCGACTTTCCATCCATAGCTCGACTATGGATGAATACGTCATCGAAATAACTCGGCGCGAATTCTCGTACTGGCCTCAACAGATGTGATACACACCTGTTGAACGTGGCAGGGGCATTACTGAGCCCTTGTGGCATTACTAGCCATTCCCAGAGCATGCCGCTAGGCGTGCTAACTGCGGTATAGGGTATATCCCGTTCCCGCATTAGGATTTGATAGAAGCCATCCATCAAATCCATGGACGAAAAGATGGTACTCTTTGACATACCATCAATGATTACGTCCTTCCTCGGTATCGGCGTCTGAGCCGGTACCGTTGCAGCGTTCAATTTGTTAAACGCGTGCACTATCCGCCACCCTCCTGTTGCTTTTCGCACACAGAAGGTCGGAGAGCTATGTGGGGAAGTTGATTCCCTCACATGGCCCGCTGCTAAACGATCGGCAAAGAACTTGTCGATCGCAAGTACTTGTTCACGAGGCAGTGGCCACTGCTTCATGACACAGTACTTCGAGCCTGGTTTAAGCTCGACTTCGTGTCGAATACCTTTATCCTTCGGTAATTCGCACGGAACAGTTTCAGGGAATACATCCTTGAATTCAACCAAATCTTCATAGAGAGGATTTTCCTTGAGCGATTCCCATGATTGGGACTCATATCGCTCAATTCGTGTCTTTTCATCTAGGACACTCTCGTCCATAGATGAACTACTGAGAACTCTCTCGTTCTCAGTAAACACTGTTGCTGACCTTATGTCGGTTACATACTCGTCGTCAGCGACGAGTATGCAGATCTGCTTGACTTTGCCACTACGCAGATCACGCAAGAACCTTTTATGTTCGAGCGTTGGCAACTGAGTGATCTCCGAAGTTAACTTCGGAGGCGCAATCAGATCAAGTGTATAAGCGCCTACACATGATCCGTTATTGACTATGACATTCAATGTCTCTGTCATTTCCTGGGGACTTATTCCCTCAGGCTTCGAAGGACTTATTCCTTCGTCTTCCCGGGGACTTATTCCCGCGGGTTTCGGGGAACTTATTTCCGCCGTATTTGTAATCTTGGGACTTATTCCCTTTACTTCCTCTAGCTGGGGTTGCGCAACCACAGCGAGATCCTCTACGAAAGACTCTCCAGTCGATCTAGGATTATCGTTTCGCTTAACCTGAGCGATCGATTGTTTCTCTTCTAGATGTTCCCCTCTAGGGATACATCTTTGTCCCAGTCCACCCGACTTATTCGAGTGGTGGACCTTCGGCGCAGCCTGTGTTTCCTCACAGCCGCCGGAACTTTGCTCCGAAGTGTAACCGTTTGGTACACTAAGGTTTTGTGCAGTCGTACTAACGACCGTACCACAAGTGAGGCCATCGCACTCACTCGTAGTACATCCACACGCTTGTGGACGCTCCAAAACGTTCATCAGATGGCCATCTGATGAACAAGCGGCAGAGCATCGTTACTGTCCGATGTTGCCAGTTTACCCGTGGTTCGTACCTTCTGAGCCACGGTATTCCAAGGATGACATCAAATTTGTCATCCAAATCCAATACGATAAAGTCATCGTCGTATTGGGTATCTTCTAGCGTATAGTGAATCTTCACTATACGCTTCATGACGGTTACGGATGCGCCTGTCGCAAGACGTACCGTCATCCTCGTAGGAGGTGTGTCACATTCACCGAATTTAAAGTGACCATCTTCTAGCGATTGGCGTCGCACAAAATTGTTGGACGCCCCACAATCGACTAGAGCTCGAAGGGACAACTTATTCGTCACTTCGAGTTTCAAGGTAATGAGTGAGATCTCATTACCTAGAGCAGCAACGCACAATGTCTGTGTGTTGGGAGCAACCTTCATCAAGAGGCCTACAAATTCTCTTGACGTTGCTGGATCAGTAGGGTGCTCCGCACCTACTGATCCTGTCCGTTTTTGACGGTCCATCCCGTTGTTGCGTCTTTGCACCAACTGCGGACCCTCGTCCCTGCCCCTTTCTCATGGGTGGACGGTCACTACGCCCAGTGTCGCGAGACACTGGACGAGGGGCACTACACTCGTAAGCGTAGTGTCCTGTCTTTTGAAATCTGTTGCCTCTCTGGAACTTTTGGGGGGTGGGGGGGGGGGCCCTCTCTCTCTCTAAAAAAGAGGGGTCGCCGGGGCTTGGCGCCCGGGGGTCTTCTGGGTTGGTGGGGTGGTGGGGGGGTGGGGGGGGGGGGGGCGGCCGGCGTACTGGCGCCTCCCCCCGCCAAGTAATGGATTTGGTTTTTTTAGTTAATTTCAAGCAGGGGAGGGAGGGGGGGGGGAGGGGGGAAGGCCCGGCAACGGCAAAAACAAACAGAAACACAGGGCCCACCGGCCCGCGAAGAACTAATAAAGATTGTAATAAGTTTGGGGTGTATATGTTGAGCGTAAGCGTGCACATCACGCTTACCCTGCTTGAGCTTCAAGAGTTCGGTTCGAGCTCTGAACTCAGCTCTAGGCGGTTCAAACGTTTGTCTGAGCCGCGACTTGAAGACTTCCAACGACCCAAACGCATATGGGTCGTGCAGCTTGAGCCCCAGTGCCCAAGTCTTGGCACGTCCTGCCAGATTTGACTGGGCACATGCAACTTGCATATCCCCGTCGTCGATGCGACGCGCCCTTATGGCGTCATCCAATTCGACGAACCATCTCAAGAGGGAGTCTTCTTCGACCCCCTATACTTTGAGATGTCAATCTTCAAAGTCTCGGGCCGACGCGAGTGCATCGACCCGCCAGCAGCAGCCTGCTGCTGTCTCAACAGTTCAAACTGTTGAGCACCTTGTTCTCTCAACAACTCTGCTTGTTGAGAACCTTGTTGGTGAAGCAAGGCTACTTTCTCGCGTTCTGCGTCAAGTTCATTTTGAATGAACTTGGCGATAGTAGCATGTTGGGCATCTCTATTGAGAGCCTCTAGCATGACGCTAACAGCATGGATGCCCATGGGCGAACCCATTCGTTCAACCGCATCCCATTCGACATCGCTCAAATGGGAGTAGCCGTCACGCGTAGCGTGAAAGCTTTGGTCATCTTCATCATCCAACATATTCATGTTGGATGTGAACGCGGTCCTTGGACGGACTACGAAGTGCTACCAGGTGTAACGGGGCACCCTGAAGCTTGTACTGGTGACAGTACAAGCTACTTATTCTGATAACAGAATAAGGCGGTGCCTCGTAACTTCACGTACACTCGTACGTGCAGAGGAAGACGGTAAGAAGAAGCGAGTACTCGGTTAGAGTAAAAAGTAGAACTGTATTTATAATAGTTAATGTCTGCAATAAATCACTATTTATCTTCATCTAACTATGTCTAAATACAAATGTGTAAATCAGTTATCTGCTCACCACTCATTGCGTGCGTCTGTCGTGGCGCGTCTTCGTTGGTTGATATAATGGCCTATATCAACCAATTAGGAACTACTTGGAAGTGCTACAGAATATTGTCCTTATGACAATATTCTGAGAATATAACTCTTATAGTTATATTCTATTAACAATTTCTTATAAATTGTTATGTAACGATTCACCCCGTTACACCCCGCGCCAACCAGGATCTCTACTTCTTGACCTGTTGCTTGGGCAGCGGTATCCACAGCTGCAAGTGCGATTAGGAAAAATGAAAAAGGCCACTGCATCTTCGTATCGTCGTGTGTCTGGAGCAAACAAGTCAAAAAGTGTTGTGACGCTCTATCCTTGCTTGCCATTTCTGCCGTCCATCTCTGATGTCACGAGGAAGTGATTGAAAGAGAACTTCGTCGTCCTTCAACGGAGTGAGGTGGTATGACGTTTTGGACGTCCACACGCTCCAGGACGGATGGTTCGCTATCGACTTGAGTCGTCCAGAAAGCTGCTAGATCGTGTGCGAGTGATAACACTTGACTACCATCTCATCAATGTACCGCATACGATCACCATCGCCAGTTGTTTACCACTTCAAGACCGTCATCTGCCTCTACAGCAATCTGGTTGATGGACACGTTGTGACGGTAATGAGGCGTCATAAAGCTACTCGTGAGTTAAGCGCGACATGTCACGCATCTTGTTGCGTCGCTTTCTGGAGTGTCGTGACTGCTTCAGGACAGGTGAGTTGCTGTTTGCGAGACATCCAGTGCTAGAAGATGGCCACTACCAACTACGTCCACCACCTAAGGGTGTGCATGACCCGTGTTTCTTGACCACAAAGTCCACGACCTACGGCTGTGCATGGTCCATGTTTCTCGACCACAAAGTCCACGAGCCTCACCTCAATGGGACGCTCGCTTTAATGTCAAACCGTAATCACATTTGGATGACAGCCTCTGTCTCATCATTGGCTTGTTCGCTCTGACTACCACGATTGAACCTCCAGAGATGCTAAGCTAGGTGGGTAGTAGTGATTAGTCGTACGATACCGACACGTTTTCCGAATGGACATTCTGTCCTCGGATGTGATCAACCTGCTGGACTGCTCCTGCGTTTCGGCCCGGGTCTTTTTTTCTCTTTTTCGCGATCTTCTTCAGGTGCAGTTGTTTACATATGTAGAATGCAGGAGCAATCAAGTTTTTGTAGCTCTCAAACCTTTGCAGCACTCCGTCCAAGACGAAGTGTGGACATCGCATAAGAGTAACGATGATGTATATACATCTGGGTACAATGCCGTGGCGCTGAGCGCTACCCGACTTATCCACCCCAGCAGACACGTACTAGTAGCAGCACATGTCGATAAATACGTCACCCACGTATACACATACCTGGATGTGGAATGCGCGCAAACACGGGCGTACTCACGCGAACACCGACGTTCTTTGATGTCGTATATCGGTAAGGTGTGCCTGGTGTGTATGTATCACCACATACGATTGAAGTCGCACAAGACGCATACTAGCAGGAGAAGCGAACTAGGATAGAGTTCTGCTCAGCTACGATATCACACACGTAGTTCGATTGGTTAAGCTCTCTCTCTTTCTCTTTGGTGATTTCTATTCCGCTGTTACGACTGATCCAAGAAAGCTCCATCGATGTGTGGCTCCTGGCCTTATGCTCCTTCTGTTTTGGCAGCAAAGACAACATGACGGCACTCGCATGTACAGACCTTGTCACACTGGTGCTCGACATTAGAGAGCGTAAATATCCCGTGGAGTCAATGGAAGTGAAGCAAGGAGTCACGACGAGCTCAAAGACGTGATCAATACTCATGAGCATAGTGTCCAATCTTCTGAAAGCCTAGAACTTCCATAGCGTGGTCGATGTTCTCTTGAACAGTGAGTTACCTTGCTCAACGGCAGTACTATTGCATAGGTGAGGAGACGTACCGGTAGCTCATCCCCAATATGCTTGTGATGTTGCGTATCCGACTGGCTATGCTGCCTCACATATAAGCAAAGCGTCGATTGACAGTGCCGGCTTTCGTGACCATATCAAGTGATCAGCTAGCATTGAGGGTACGGCGTGTAAGGTTCTATAACAAGGTTTCGTCAACACCTATGCCAGCGTATCGAGCTGGAATAGTTAGGCACAAACGTGGAGACCATAAATCCCATCTCATTTTACACGGCCTCGGAGGAAAACAAACACCACAGTCGGGAAGAACTCCATCCATGCTGAGTTTTTCGACCAAATAGTCGCTGGATGGCCGACGCTTCACTCGTATCAACGGTAAAAGGTATACGGCGACGTTGTTCGAGTGGAGTTATACGAGCGACAAGAGCCAAATGCAAACAACAATCGAATGCACGACTTGAATGAGTGTCAAACGAGATGGAATGAGGGTGTCGACATGAACGATAGTTTATCCCATAGTTTACCGATTTCACAGCAATCCTTCCTGCTTTTCTGTCAGCTACGAACACCAATGTTTTTGGCACTCGCCTCCACAGCGTTTCTGGAACACGCATGATCGACTCGATAGTGGGCGGCTGCTCTATGTTGCGACGGAGCATTTCGGCAAAACGCCTTTTTGTGGTGAGATCCTCGATTATCGATTGCGCTGGGATGCCACCATTCAAGCACCCACCGCAGTGGTGCATCGCGATGACATTATGGTCACTCGTGCCGAGGATCGGTGAGCCTGACGCTCCTTCCTGGGTGTCGATATAGTAGCCCACATCGTCTTCGCGGCATTCGGTGACCGTCAGCGACTCGACACGTCCTGGTTGACCATTATACAGCCATGCAATACGTTTGCCATAGCCCAGCGGATGCTGCGGAATGTAAATGCTTTCCTTCGGTACCGCTCCCGATGCGCGAAACTGTAGATAGCCACTCGTCTTCTCGTACAGGCCGGAGTAATCCGCAATACTGTCGTTGATACCAAGTCGGACCACCGCGTAGTCCAACTCTTCCGAGACGGCCACTAGCGTTGGCGACGTCACGCCAATCGGTCCTGGACATCCACCCTGGGAGTCACAAGTCTCACCGCCTTTGCAGCTCGTTGACTGAGCGAGAAACTCGACCTTTGTATTGAGCGCGTCTTGGTTATTGCCGATGCAGTGCTGATTCGTAATCAAGTGACCTTCGCAACCAAGTAGCCAGCCCGTGCAGTAAGCGATGACCATGCCATTATCCTTAATTATCGACAGTCGCGCAACCGGTTGCGACTTGGCCAGCATGATGGCTCCTTCAGCACTGTTGGTAGCACTCGGCGCACAAGCAGCCTCGACGGATTCATCCGCACCACATAGACTTTCGTTGTTGATGTGATCGTTGTCATTGGTGTCAGTCGTATTGGAGAGGTTGGTTAGTGGCACCTTGACAGCCACTTGCAGGTGCTGCGCCTCATCCACGAGCTCTTTCGGGGTAAAGAGCAATCGGTCCACGGTGAAGCCTCGACACGAAGTCGAACTGGATTGATCGGATACCGGAGTCTTGAATAGTTCCAGGACGACTCCGATCCCCGATATCGCGGTCGAGTGAAAGTTGCCCGTTGCATTCTTTTCCCGACAGCACGGCCACCGCTGGTGTCGTCTCTGGATCTTCGGAAGGCCAAAGTACCAGACGATCGGATTCGGGAAGGTTGAAGTGCGTGAAATGCAGCACGTAGATGCCCTCCCCGAGCCCAGGGTCAAGCTGTAGACGATAGGAAGGCTCGCTTTTGGTCGCATTTGGCAAGGTCGAGTAATTGGAGAATGCGCACCCCGCGCCAACCAGGATCTCTACTTCTTGACCTGTTGCTTGGGCAGCGGTATCCACAGCTGCAAGTGCGATTAGGAAAAATGAAAAAGGCCACTGCATCTTCGTATCGTCGTGTGTCTGGAGCAAACAAGTCAAAAAGTGTTGTGACGCTCTATCCTTGCTTGCCATTTCTGCCGTCCATCTCTGATGTCACGAGGAAGTGATTGAAAGAGAACTTCGTCGTCCTTCAACGGAGTGAGGTGGTATGACGTTTTGGACGTCTACACGCTCCAGGACGGATGGTTTGCTATCGACTTGAGTCGTCCAGAAAGCTGCTAGATCGTGTGCGAGTGATAACACTTGACTACCATCTCATCAATGTACCGCATACGATCACCATCGCCAGTTCTTTACCACTTCAAGACCGTCATCTGCCTCTACGGCAATCTGGTTGATGGACACGTTGTGACGGTAATGAGGCGTCATAAAGCTACTCGCGAGTTAAGCGCGACATGCCACGCATCTTGTTGTGTCACTTTCTGGGGCGTCGTGACTGCTTCAGGACAGGTGAGTTGCTGTTTGCGAGACATCCAGTGCTAGAAGATAGCCACTACCAACTACGTACACCACCTAAGAGTGTGCATGACCCGTGTTTCTTGACCACAAAGTCCACGACCTACGGCTGTGCAAAGTCCGTATTTCTCGACCACAATGTCCACGAGCCTCACCTCAATGGGACGCTCGCTTTAATGTCAAACCGTTATCATATTTGGATGACAGCCTCTGTCTCATCATTAGCTTGTTCGCTCTGACTACCACGATTGAACCTCCAGAGATGCTAAGCTAGGTGGGTAGTAGTGATAGTCGTACGATACCGACACGTTTTCCGAATGGACATTCTGTCCTCGGATGTGATCAACCTGCTGGACTGCTCCTGCGTTTCGGCCCGGGTCTTTTTTCTCTTTTTCGCGATCTTCTTCAGGTGCAGTTGTTTACACCATGTAGAATGCAGGAGCAATCAAGTTTTTGTAGCTCTCAAACCTTTTGCAGCACTCCGTCCAAGACGAAGTGTGAACATCGCATAAGAGTAACGATGATGTATATACATCTGGGTACAATGCCGTGGCGCTGAGCGCTACCCGACTTATCCACCTCAACAGACACATACTAGTAGCAGCACATGTCGATAAATACGTCACCCACGTATACACATACCTGGATGTGGAATGCGCGCAAACACGGGCGTACTCACGCGAACACCGACGTTCTTTGATGTCGTATATCGGTAAGGTGTGCCTGGTGTGTATGTATCACCACATACGATTGAAGTCGCACAAGACGCATACTAGCAGGAGATGCGAACTAGCATAGAGTTCTGCTCAGCTACGATATCACACACGTAGTTCGATTGGTTAAGCTCTCTCTCTTTCTCAGTGGTGATTTCTATTCCGCTGTTATGACTGATCCAAGAAAGCTTCATCGATGTGTGGCTCCTGGCCTTATGCTCCTTCTGTTTTGGCAGCAAAGACAACATGACGGCACTCGCATGTACAGACCTTGTCACACTGGTGCTCGACATTAGAGAGCGTAAATATCCCGTGGACTCAATGGATGTAAAGAAAGGAGCCACGACGAGATCAAAGACGTGATCAATACTCATGAGCATAGTGTCCAATCTTCTGAAAGCCTAGAACTTCCATAGCGTGGTCGATGTTCTCGTGAACAGTTGAGTTACGATGGGTGGGTCGATGTTCTCGTGAACAGTTGAGTTACCTTGCTCAACGGCAGTACTATTGCATAGATGAGGAGACGTACCGGCAGCTCATCCCCAATATGCTTGTGATGTTGCGTATCTGACTGGCTATGCTGTCTCACACACATGCAAAGCATCGAGTGACCGTGCCGGCTTTCGTGACCATATCAAGTGATCAGCTAGCATTGAGGGTACGGCATGTAAGGTTCTATAACAAGGTTTCGTCAACACCTATGCCAGCGTATCGAGCTGGAATAGTTAGGCATAAACGTGGAGACCATAAATCCCATCTCATTTTACACGGCCTCGGAGGAAAACAAACACCACAGTCGGGAAGAACGCCATCCATGCTGAGTTTTTCGACCAAATAGTCGCTGGATGGCCGACGCTTCACTCGTATAAACGGTGAAAGGTATACGGCGACGTTGTTCGAGTGGAGTTATACGAGCGACAAGAGCCAAATGCAAACAACAATCGAATGCACGACTTGAATGAATGTCAAACGAGATGGAATGAGGGTGTCGACATGAACGATAGTTTATCCCATAGTTTACCGATCTCACAACAATCCTTCCTGCTTTTCTGCCAGCTACGAACACCAATGTTTTTGGCACTCGCCTCCACAGCGTTTCTGGAACACGCATGAACGACTCGATAGTGGGCGGCTGCTCTACGTTGCGACGGAGCATTTCGGCAGAACACCTTTGTGGTGAGATCCTCGATTATCGATTGCGCTGGGATGCCACCATTCAAGCACCCACCGCAGTGGTGCATCGCGATGACATTATGGTCACTCGTGCCAAGGATCGGTGAGCCTGACGCTCCTTCCTGGGTGTCGATATAGTAGCCCACATCGTCTTCGCGGCATTCGGTGACCGTCAGCGACTCGACACGACCAGGTTGACCATTATACAACCATGCGATGCGTTTACCATAGCCTAGTGGATGCTGCGGAATGTAAATGCTTTCCCGACCGCCCTGTACCGCTGCGGATGGCAAAGTAGATAGCCACTCGTCTTCTCGTACAAGCCGGAGTAATCCGCAATACTGTCGTTGATACCAAGTCGGACCACCGCGTAGTCCAACTCTTCCGGAGACGGCCACCAGCGCTGGCGACGTCACGCCAATCGGTCCTGGACATCCACCCCTGGGAGTCACAAGTCTCACTTGCTCAACGGCAGTACTATTGCATAGATGAGAAGACATACCGGTAGCTCATCCCCAATATGCTTGTGATGTTGCGTATCCGACTGGCTATGCTGCCTCACACACATGCAAAGCATCGAGTGACCGTGCCGACTTTCGTGACCATATCAAGTGATCAGCTAGCATTGAGGGTACGGCGTGTAAGGTTCTATAACGAGGTTTTGTCAACACCTATGCCAGCGTATCGAGCTGGAATAGTTAGGCACAAACGTGGAGACCATAAATCCCATCTCATTTTACACGGCCTCGGAGGAAAACAAACACCACAGTCGGGAAGAACTCCATCCATGCTGAGTTTTTCGACCAAATAGTCGCTGGATGGCCGACGCTTCACTCGTATAAACGGTAAAAGGTATACGGCGACGTTGTTCGAGTGGAGTTCTACGAGCGACAAGAACCAAATGCAAACAACAATCGAATGCACGACTTGAATGAATGTCAAACGAGATGGAATGAGGGTGTCGACATGAACGATAGTTTATCCCATAGTTTACCGATTTCACAGCAATCCTTCCTGCTTTTCTGTCAGCTACGAACACCAATGTTTTTGGCACTCGCCTCCACAGCGTTTCTGGAACACGCATGATCGACTCGATAGTGGGCGGCTGCTCTATGTTGCGACGGAGCATTTCGGCAAAAACGCCTTTTGTGGTGAGATCCTCGATTATCGATTGCGCTGGGATGCCACCATTCAAGCACCCACCGCAGTGGTGCATCGCGATGACATTATGGTCACTCGTGCCAAGGATCGGTGAGCCTGATGCTCCTTCCTGGGTGTCGATATAGTAGCCCACATCGTCTTCGCGGCATTCGGTGACCGTCAGCGACTCGACACGTCCTGGTTGACCATTATACAGCCATGCAATACGTTTGCCATAGCCCAGCGGATGCTGCGGAATGTAAATGCTTTTCCTTCGGTACCGCTCCCGATGCGCGAAACTGTAGATAGCCACTCGTCTTCTCGTACAAGCCGGAGTAATCCGCAATACTGTCGTTGATACCAAGTCGGACCACCGCGTAGTCCAACTCTTCCGAGACGGCCACTAGCGTTGGCGACGTCACGCCAATCGGTCCTGGACATCCACCCTGAGAGTCACAAGTCTCACCGCCTTTGCAGCTCGTTGACTGAGCGAGAAACTCGACCTTTGTATTGAGCGCATCTTGGTTATTGCCGATGCAGTGCTGATTCGTAATCAAGTGACCTTCGCAACCAAGTAGCCAGCCCGTGCAGTAAGCGATGACCATGCCATTATCCTTAATTATCGACAGTCGCGCAACCGGTTGCGACTTGGCCAGCATGATGGCTCCTTCAGCACTGTTGGTAGCACTCGGCGCACAAGCAGCCTCGACGGATTCATCCGCACCACATAGACTTTCGTTGTTGATGTGATCGTTGTCATTGGTGTCAGTCGTATTGGAGAGGTTGGTTAGTGGCACCTTGACAGCCACTTGCAGGTGCTGCGCCTCATCCACGAGCTCTTTCGGGGTAAAGAGCAATCGGTCCACGGTGAAGCCTCGACACGAAGTCGAACTGGATTGATCGGATACCGGAGTCTTGAATAGTTCCAGGACGACTCCGTTCCCCGATATCGCGGTCGAGTGAAAGTTGCCCGTTGCATTCTTTCCCGACAGCACGGCCACCGCTGGTGTCGTCTCTGGATCTTTGGAAGGCCAAAGTACCAGACGATCGGATTCGGGAAGGTTGAAGTGCGTGAAATGCAGCACGTAGATGCCCTCCCCGAGCCCAGGGTCAAGCTGTAGACGATAGGAAGGCTCGCTTTTGGTCGCATTTGGCAAGGTCGAGTAATTGGAGAATGCGCACCCCGCGCCAACCAGGATCTCTACTTCTTGACCTGTTGCTTGGGCAGCGGTATCCACAGCTGCAAGTGCGATTAGGAAAAATGAAAAAGGCCACTGCATCTTCGTATCGTCGTGTGCCTAGAGCAAACAAGTCAAAAAGTGTTGTGACGCTGTATCCTTGCTTGCTGTGTCTGCCGTCCATCTCTGATGTCACGAGGAAGTGATTGAAAGAGAACTTCGTCGTCCTTCAACGGAGTGAGGTGGTATGACGTTTTGGACGTCTACATGCTCTAGGACGGATGGTTTGCTATCGACTTGAGTCGTCCAGAAAGCTGCTAGATCGTGTGCGAGTGATAACACTTGACTACCATCTCATCAATGTACCGCATACGATCACCATCGCCAGTTCTTTACCACTTCAAGACCGTCATCTGCCTCTACGACAATCTGGTTGATGGGCACGTTGTGACGGTAATGAGGCGTCATAAAGCTACACGCGAGTTAAGCTCGACATGCCACGCATCTCGTTGCGTCGCTTTCTGGTGTGTCGTGACTGCTTTAGGACAGGTGAGTTGCTGTTTGCGAGACATCCAGTGCTAGAAGATAGCCACTACCAACTACGTCCGCCACCTAAGAGTGTGCATGACCCGTGTTTCTTGACCACAAAGTCCACGACCTGCGGCTGTGCAAGGTCCGTATTTCTCGACCACAAAGTCTACGAGCCTCACCTCAATGGGACGCTCGCTTTAATGTCAAACCGTTATCATATTTGGATGACAGCCTCTGTCTCATCATTGGCTTGTTCGCTCTGACTACCACGATTGAACCTCCAGAGATGCTAAGCTAGGTGGGTAGTAGTGATTAGTCGTACGATACCGACACGTTTTCCGAATGGACATTCTGTCCTCGGATGTGATCAACCTACTGGACTGCTCCTGCGTTTCGGCCCGGGTCTTTTTTTCTCTTTTTCGCGATCTTCTTCAGGTGCAGTTGTTTACATATGTAGAATGCAGAAGCAATCAAGTTTTTGTAGCTCTCAAACCTTTGCAACACTCCGTCCAAGACGAAGTGTGGACATCGCATAAGAGCAACATGATATGTATACATCTGGGTACAATGCCGTGGCGCAGAGCGCTACCCGACTTATCCACCCCAACAGACACATACTAGTAGCAGCACATGTCGATAAATACGTCACCCACGTATACACATACCTGGATGTGGAATGCGCGCAAACACGGGCGTACTCACGCGAACACCGACGTTCTTTGATGTCGTATATCGGTAAGGTGTGCCTGGTGTGTATGTATCACCACATACGATTGAAGTCGCACAAGACGCATACTAGCAGGAGATGCGAACTAGCATAGAGTTCTGCTCAGCTACGATATCACACACGTAGTTCGATTGGTTAAGCTCTCTCTCTTTCTCAGTGGTGATTTCTATTCCGCTGTTATGACTGATCCAAGAAAGCTTCATCGATGTGTGGCTCCTGGCCTTATGCTCCTTCTGTTTTGGCAGCAAAGACAACATGACGGCACTCGCATGTACAGACCTTGTCACACTGGTGCTCGACATTAGAGAGCGTAAATATCCCGTGGAGTCAACGGATGTGAAGCAAAGAGTCACGACGAGCTCGAAGACGTGATCAATACTCATGAGCGTAGTGTCCAATCTTCTGAAAGCCTAGAACTTCCATAGCGTGGTCGATGTTCTCTTGAACAGTTGAGTTACCTTGCTCAACGGCAGTACTATTGCATAGATGAGGAGACGTACCGGTAGCTCATCCCCAATATGCTTGTGATGTTGCGTATCCGACTGGCTATGCTGTCTCACACACATGCAAAGCATCGAGTGACCGTGCCGACTTTCGTGACCATATCAAGTGATCAGCTAGCATTGAGGGTACGGCGTGTAAGGTTCTATAACGAGGTTTTGTCAACACCTATGCCAGCGTATCGAGCTGGAATAGTTAGGCACAAACGTGGAGACCATAAATCCCATCTCATTTTACACGGCCTCGGAGGAAAACAAACACCACAGTCGGGAAGAACGCCATCCATGCTGAGTTTTTCGACCAAATAGTCGCTGGATGGCCGACGCTTCACTCGTATAAACGGTGAAATGTATACGGCGACGTTGTTCGAGTGGAGTTATACGAGCGACAAGAGCCAAATGCAAACAACAATCGAATGCACGACTTGAATGAGTGTCAAACGAGATGGAATGAGGGTGTCGACATGAACGATAGTTTATCCCATAGTTTACCGATTTCACAACAATCCTTCCTGCTTTTCTGTCAGCTACGAACACCAATGTTTTTGGCACTCGCCTCCACAGCGTTTCTGGAACACGCATGATCGACTCGATAGTGGGCGGCTGCTCTATGTTGCGACGGAGCATTTCGGCAAAACGCCTTTTGTGGTGAGATCCTCGATTATCGATTGCGCTGGGATGCCACCATTCAAGCACCCACCGCAGTGGTGCATCGCGATGACATTATGGTCACTCGTGCCAAGGATCGGTGAGCCTGACGCTCCTTCCTGGGTGTCGATATAGTAGCCCACATCGTCTTCGCGGCATTCGGTGACCGTCAGCGACTCGACACGTCCTGGTTGACCATTATACAGCCATGCAATACGTTTGCCATAGCCCAGCGGATGCTGCGGAATGTAAATGCTTTCCTTCGGTACCGCTCCCGATGCGCGAAACTGTAGATAGCCACTCGTCTTCTCGTACAAGCCGGAGTAATCCGCAATACTGTCGTTGATACCAAGTCGGACCACCGCGTAGTCCAACTCTTCCGAGACGGCCACTAGCGTTGGCGACGTCACGCCAATCGGTCCTGGACATCCACCCTGAGAGTCACAAGTCTCACCGCCTTTGCAGCTCGTTGACTGAGCGAGAAACTCGACCTTTGTATTGAGCGCGTCTTGGTTATTGCCGATGCAGTGCTGATTCGTAATCAAGTGACCTTCGCAACCAAGTAGCCAGCCCGTGCAGTAAGCGATGACCATGCCATTATCCTTGATTATCGACAGTCGCGCAACCGGTTGCGACTTGGCCAGCATGATGGCTCCTTCAGCACTGTTGGTAGCACTCGGCGCACAAGCAGCCTCGACGGATTCATCCGCACCACATAGACTTTCGTTGTTGATGTGATCGTTGTCATTGGTGTCAGTCGTATTGGAGAGGTTGGTTAGTGGCACCTTG